CGGGTAGAGGGCGAGCAGAGGGGCGAGCGATGCAAGGGAGGCACCATAGGGGGGAAACCAGTTGCACGGAGGTGGGAGGTGAGGGGCATGCGAGGGGGTGGAACAGGGGCAGGGAGGGGCAGAATGGGAGGATGAAGGTGGGGGGTGGGGGGGGAGGGAAAGTGAGAGGGAGAGGGAGAGAGAGAGAGGGAGAGGGGGAGAGAGAGAGAGAGAGAGAGAGGGGGGGGGAAGGAGAAAGGGGAGAGGGAACGTGGGGAGGGGGGCTGGGGGTGGGGATGGGCTGATGGTGGTAAGAGGGCAGCAGGGAGGGGGAGAAGGCAGCGTAGCGTGGGGAAAGCAAAGGGCAGGGGGGGGAGGAAGGGAGGGGCAGGGAGGGAGGAGGCTGAACGTACAGAGGGGGGAACGAGGGGCATGGATGGTATGAAACAAGGGCATGGGTGCGGGAAATCAAGGACAGGGAGGGGAGAAGCGATGGGTGCAGGGAAAGCAAAGGAGGGGCAGAGAGGGTACAAGGTAAGGTCAGGGAGGGAAGAAACGTGGGGCAGGGAGGCGCGAAACCAAGGACAGGGGCATGGGCGGCCAGGGGCAGGGAGGGAACAAAGGAGAGGCACGGAGAAAGGTAGGGAGGTGCAGGGAGGGGAGAAACCGGGCGTGGGGGGACGGAAAACGAGGGGCAGGGCGGGGAGGAGGGAGAGGCAGGGAGGGGAGAGGCTGAGCACACAGAGGGGGGAAACGTGGAGCAGGGAGGTGGGAAGCCAAGGACAAGGGTGGGAGAGTGGGGGGGGGGGGGGGGGGCGGGCGGGAGAGGGGGGAGGAGGGGAGCGGAGAAAGGCGGCGAGGGGCAGGGAGGGGAGAAACCGAGCGCAGGGGGGGGGGAAACGAGGGGCAGGGGGGGGATTGAGGAGGGGCAGGGAGTGGAGTAGGTTAGCGAGGGGGGGGAAGAAGCGTGCAGCAGAGGAGGGGAGGGGGGAGGAGAAGGTAAACGAGGGGAGGGAACGGGCGGGGAGGAACGAATGGCGGGCGGTGGGAAACGGCGAGGGGGGCAGGGATGGTCAAAAGAGGCGGCGAGGGAGCGGGCACGCGGAGGTTAGGGGCGGGGGGAGCGGATGGCATGAGGGGCAGGGGGTGTGACTATGAAGGGGGGACCCGGGCAAGGGGTGTGTACCGGTCGGGGCACGGGGTTGACGTGGTACGATCATACCTCGGCTACTACGCCGGATCCCATCAGAACTCCGAATCTAAGCGCCGGTGGGCGAGAGCAGTACTGGGCTGGGTGACCTCCCAGGAAGTTCTCGTGTTGTACCCATTTATGCCCCTTGCTCGGCATGTGCCGGGGGAGTGGCAAGCGGGAAAAAGAAAGGACGATTTTAGCGCGTCCGATTTTTTTTATTTTCGTTTTTTTGCCCAAACAACGACTCAGCGGGGTGGAGGGCCCCCGGGGAGGCTTGCCCGTGCGCACCACAGTTGGGCGCTTGGAAGCCGCACACGGTCGCGGGGGTGGAGAGCGGAAACGGGCAGCCGGGGGAGGGTGGGGGCGGCTGGATGGGACTGGGGTGTACGGGGGGCAGGGGAGTTGAGGGGGCAAGGGGAGGGGCAGCACCGGGCAGGGGCTGGGCCAGCTGAGGGCAACGAAAAGGGGCGGGTAGAGGGCGAGCAGAGGGGCGAGCGATGCAAGGGAGGCACCATAGGGGGGAAACCAGTTGCACGGAGGTGGGAGGTGAGGGGCATGCGAGGGGGTGGAACAGGGGCAGGGAGGGGCAGAATGGGAGGATGAAGGTGGGGGGTGGGGGGGGGAGGGAAAGTGAGAGGGAGGGGGAGAGAGAGAGAGGGAGAGGGGGGGAGAGAGAGAGAGAGAGAGAGAGAGGGGGGGGGAAGGAGAAAGGGGAGAGGGAACGTGGGGAGGGGGGCTGGGGGTGGGGATGGGCTGATGGTGGTAAGAGGGCAGCAGGGAGGGGGAGAAGGCAGCGTAGCGTGGGGAAAGCAAAGGGCAGGGGGGGAGGAAGGGAGGGGCAGGGAGGGAGGAGGCTGAACGTACAGAGGGGGGAACGAGGGGCATGGATGGTATGAAACAAGGGCATGGGTGCGGGAAATCAAGGACAGGGAGGGGAGAAGCGATGGGTGCAGGGAAAGCAAAGGAGGGGCAGAGAGGGTACAAGGTAAGGTCAGGGAGGGAAGAAACGTGGGGCAGGGAGGCGCGAAACCAAGGACAGGGGCATGGGCGGCCAGGGGCAGGGAGGGAACAAAGGAGAGGCACGGAGAAAGGTAGGGAGGTGCAGGGAGGGGAGAAACCGGGCGTGGGGGGACGGAAAACGAGGGGCAGGGCGGGGAGGAGGGAGAGGCAGGGAGGGGAGAGGCTGAGCACACAGAGGGGGGAAACGTGGAGCAGGGAGGTGGGAAGCCAAGGACAAGGGTGGGAGAGTGGGGGGGCGGGGAGAGGGGGGAGGAGGGGAGCGGAGAAAGGCGGCGAGGGGCAGGGAGGGGAGAAACCGAGCGCAGGGGGGGGGGAAACGAGGGGCAGGGGGGGGATTGAGGAGGGGCAGGGAGTGGAGTAGGTTAGCGAGGGGGGGGAAGAAGCGTGCAGCAGAGGAGGGGAGGGGGGAGGAGAAGGTAAACGAGGGGAGGGAACGGGCGGGGAGGAACGAATGGCGGGCGGTGGGAAACGGCGAGGGGGGCAGGGATGGTCAAAAGAGGCGGCGAGGGAGCGGGCACGCGGAGGTTAGGGGCGGGGGGAGCGGATGGCATGAGGGGCAGGGGGTGTGACTATGAAGGGGGGACCCGGGCAAGGGGTGTGTACCGGTCGGGGCACGGGGTTGACGTGGTACGATCATACCTCGGCTACTACGCCGGATCCCATCAGAACTCCGAATCTAAGCGCCGGTGGGCGAGAGCAGTACTGGGCTGGGTGACCTCCCAGGAAGTTCTCGTGTTGTACCCATTTATGCCCCTTGCTCGGCATGTGCCGGGGGAGTGGCAAGCGGGAAAAAGAAAGGACGATTTTAGCGCGTCCGATTTTTTTTATTTTCGTTTTTTTGCCCAAACAACGACTCAGCGGGGTGGAGGGCCCCCGGGGAGGCTTGCCCGTGCGCACCACAGTTGGGCGCTTGGAAGCCGCACACGGTCGCGGGGGTGGAGAGCGGAAACGGGCAGCCGGGGGAGGGTGGGGGCGGCTGGATGGGACTGGGGTGTACGGGGGGCAGGGGAGTTGAGGGGGCAAGGGGAGGGGCAGCACCGGGCAGGGGCTGGGCCAGCTGAGGGCAAGGAAAAGGGGCGGGTAGAGGGCGAGCAGAGGGGCGAGCGATGCAAGGGAGGCACCATAGGGGGGAAACCAGTTGCACGGAGGTGGGAGGTGAGGGGCATGCGAGGGGGTGGAACAGGGGCAGGGAGGGGCAGAATGGGAGGATGAAGGTGGGGGGTGGGGGGGGAGGGAAAGTGAGAGGGAGAGGGAGAGAGAGAGAGGGAGAGGGGGAGAGAGAGAGAGAGAGAGAGAGAGGGGGGGGGGGAGGAGAAAGGGGAGAGGGAACGTGGGGAGGGGGGCTGGGGGTGGGGATGGGCTGATGGTGATAAGAGGGCAGCAGGGAGGGGGAGAAGGCAGCGTAGCGTGGGGAAAGCAAAGGGCAGGGGGGGAGGAAGGGAGGGGCAGGGAGGGAGGAGGCTGAACGTACAGAGGGGGGAACGAGGGGCATGGATGGTATGAAACAAGGGCATGGGTGCGGGAAATCAAGGACAGGGAGGGGAGAAGCGATGGGTGCAGGGAAAGCAAAGGAGGGGCAGAGAGGGTACAAGGTAAGGTCAGGGAGGGAAGAAACGTGGGGCAGGGAGGCGCGAAACCAAGGACAGGGGCATGGGCGGCCAGGGGCAGGGAGGGAACAAAGGAGAGGCACGGAGAAAGGTAGGGAGGTGCAGGGAGGGGAGAAACCGGGCGTGGGGGGACGGAAAACGAGGGGCAGGGCGGGGAGGAGGGAGAGGCAGGGAGGGGAGAGGCTGAGCACACAGAGGGGGGAAACGTGGGGCAGGGAGGTGGGAAGCCAAGGACAAGGGTGGGAGAGTGGGGGGGCGGGGAGAGGGGGGAGGAGGGGAGCGGAGAAAGGCGGCGAGGGGCAGGGAGGGGAGAAACCGAGTGCAGGGGGGCGAGAAACGAGGGGCAGGGGGGGGATTGAGGAGGGGCAGGGAGTGGAGTAGGTTAGCGAGGGGGAGGAAGAAGCGTGCAGCAGAGGAGGGGAGGGGGGAGGAGAAGGTAAACGAGGGGAGGGAACGGGCGGGGAGGAACGAATGACGGGCGGTGGGAAACGGCGAGGGGGGCAGGGAGGGTCAAAAGAGGCGGCGAGGGAGCGGGCACGCGGAGGTTAGGGGCGGGGGGAGCGGATGGCATGAGGGGCAGGGGGTGTGACTATGAAGGGGGGACCCGGGCAAGGGGTGTGTACCGGTCGGGGCACGGGGTTGACGTGGTACGATCATACCTCGGCTACTACGCCGGATCCCATCAGAACTCCGAAGCTAAGCGCCGGTGGGCGAGAGCAGTTATTTATTGATAAGGGAAATACAATCACAAACCGGATATAAGCGTTTTTCCAAAAGGAGGAAATTTCGGCATGACCTCTGCTCTATGAGGACGATATATATTGTCTGTAGGGAAGAGAAGTAAGAAAGAAGAAGAAAAGGTCAAGGAGTGGAAAGAAGTAGTAGGGAAAAGAAAAGAGTGGTAGGAAGAGAAGAGAAAAGATAGAGGAAGGGAAAAGAAAGAGGGAGGTGGGAAGAGGAGAGGAGAGAGGGAAAGAGACTAAGGAGAAGGAAGCACCAAGGGACCAGACACGGCAGCAACCCGCACAACAAACGCGGGCACAGCGTTTCAAGCACAGCCACTAAACTCTCTACACATATGCATCATACATATATTGCATATCGGCAACACTCTCGAAGCACCCTGTGATATGGTTCTACGTACCCTGCCCCGCACCCAGTGGGACGGGTGCGGGCATCCACCCGTCGTCGGATCCCCTTAAATGCCGCACCGCATGCTGTAAGATGCATTGAGCCTGCGCGCGCTGCAGTGCCACGGAGAGACGTGTAGTGAGTCCTGTCTCAAATATCCGTGCCGATCCGTCATCCCCCCCTCCCCAATCCCTCCTCCGCTGTGCTATCCTCTTCGCGCAGAGCCCCAGGAACTGACACAACGGCTCGCTCGGTAGGCCAAAGGTCTCAGCCACGCACGCGTAGAACTGTGGTGCCGGCTGCAACCCCTCTAGGTGCGGCCCCCAGTGACGCAGCTTCTCCTGCACCCGCCTAGCTGCTGCCACCCCAATCTGTGTGGGGGTCGCCCGTCTCAGCTGCACGTTCCCCTCCCGCTGTGGATCTGCTATGGAGACATCCACAAGAACCATCATCATCCTCTGGTCCCTCGGTGCCTCCTCTCCAGTCGTCTCTCTCCCCCTATCCTCTCCTCCACCCACCTGTCCTCTCCCCTCCCCCTCTCTACCGTCCCCCAACCCTCCCAACCCCCCTGCTCGATCCCCTGCTGCCTCTCTCACTCCCAGAACCTCACCTCCCAAACTCCCCGCCCCCCCTGTACCCCCGTCCGCTCTCTGCTGCTCTCGCCCCTGCCCCACCCCCGAGCCCACGCCCTGAGGCGCGGCGCCCTGAGCCCGCGACCTGTGCTGGCTCTCCTGCTGCCGCCTCTGCTGTCCCCCCTCTCCGCCCTGGCTGGTCTGCACCCCCTGCCGTCCCCTCTGCCCACCTGCCCCTCGCGCCACCTGACCCCACAGCTGATGCTATCCCCACTGTGCCCCGCTGCCCGGCTGTCCCGCCTCAGCCCTCTCCTCTGTTACGATACGATCTGAGCTGGTAACCGGGTTTAACTAAGGGCCTAGGCTTAGAAGCCTAGGCCAAGAGGCTAACGAGGGAGTTGTGCCAAGGGAGAATCGAGAAATGGATGGTTTCACTATAGGTTTGCAAGAACATATAGCAAAAGAACAAGAGAAGGTGCACCACCAAATAGAAAGGTAGCATAACTACACTAAAGCTAAAGCTACAGGCAGATATAAATATATGTAAAATATATAGCGCGACACACCCGTTTAACTGCAAGCAGCACATAACTAGAGCAAGTCACACCCCCGGAACCTGGGCAAGAGGTAGGAGAAGCAGAGGAAACAGCAACACAGATCAGCCATGATAAATGCAACAACGGCACGTGCAGGACCCGAGAGGTGGGCGTGAGAGCAAGCGCCGTGGCTGCAACGAGCAGCTGGACAGCGCGGCTCAGCACCTCCGGAGGCGTGCCTGCTACACGCAGCAGGTGCAGTGATGGCAGATAGGGCCACAGTGACCTCAGCCACGGCAGATGCAGCAGCGACAGGTGCAGGACCCGGCAGGTGGGCGGAGAGCAGGCGCTGTGGCTGCAACGGGCAGCTAGACAGCACCGCTCAGCACCTCGGGGGGCGTGCCTGCTACAGGCAACGGCTGCAAATGCCCGACTTACTTCTTCCACCCCCTTACCCGCCCACTCAACCCCTCTGGTGCTGGCGGCTGGCGCTGGTGCTGGTTCCTGGTGCTGGCGGCTGGCGCTGGTGCTGGTTCCTGGTGCTGGCGCTGGTGCTGGTGCTGGTTCCTGGTGCTGGCGGCTGGCGCTGGTGCTGGTTCCTGGTGCTGGCGGCTGGCGCTGGTGCTGGTTCCTGGTGCTGGCGGCTGGCGCTGGTGCTGGTTCCTGGTGCTGGCGGCTGGCGCTGGTGCTGGTTCCTGGTGCTGGCGGCTGGCGCTGGTGCTGGTTCCTGGTGCTGGCGGCTGGCGCTGGTGCTGGTTCCTGGTGCTGGCGGCTGGCGCTGGTGCTGGTTCCTGGTGCTGGTGCTGGTGCTGGTGCTGGTTCCTGGTGCTGGCGGCTGGCGCTGGTGCTGGTTCCTGGTGCTGGCGGCTGGCGCTGGTGCTGGTTCCTGGTGCTGGCAGCTGGCGCTGGTGCTGGTTCCTGGTGCTGGCAGCTGGTGCTGGTGCTGGCTCCTGGTGCTGGCGCTGGTGCTGGTGCTGGTTCCTGCTGCTGGCGGCTGGCGCTGGTGCTGGTTCCTGGTGCTGGCGGCTGGCGCTGGTGCTGGTTCCTGGTGCTGGCGGCTGGCGCTTGTGCTGGTTCCTGGTGCTCGCTCTTGACAGCCGCCCACCACCCCTTTCCCCCACTCCTTCCCCCCCCTCACATGAGCCGCCAACCCCTCCACGCCACTCCCGCCATTCCCGCCGCCGCCGCCCCCACTGTCCGCCACACCCACCACCGCGCAACACGGCATAGGCAGGCGCGGTAGAGGGGGAAGGCGCAATGAGGGAGGGACGGGGAGGGGCAGAGACAGCGCGGGTATGGGAGGAAACTGCAGTTTCTGACGCGGCAGATGCAGGCGGGGCAGGGACGGGTCGTGCAGGGCGGGGAGCAAGCTGGCTGGCGCGTCGGTTGGCGAGCTGGATGGCGCGTCGGTTGGGCCACCACCCCTTTCCCCCTTCCCTCCTCCCCCCCCCCCACCGCGACCGTCGCTGCAACCGCGCAGGGCAGGGACGGGTGGGGAAGAGGTGGCGGGGTGGGGAGCTGACGACGGGCTTGCTCGCGGGCTCGCGGGTTAGTTGGTTCACTTGCTAGTGGGTCTGCGGGTCTGCTGGTTCGTTTACTGGCGGGCTTGCGGGTCGTGGACGATCTGTAGCATGAAGTGGCGCAGCAGCAGCTTCTCCCGCCACTCCCTCCACGCCCGCCATTCCCGCCACTCCCGCCACGCCCGCCATTCCCGCCACTCCCGCCACGCCTGCCACTCCCTTCACAGCAGCTGCGAAGTCGATGGGAGGGCAGGCGGGGACGGAACGGGACAGGACGGAACGCGGGCTGGCGCTGGTGCTCAAGTGACGGTCGCCACCCTTTTCCCCCTCTCCTCTCCCCCCCCCCACTGGGACCGTCGACGTTTCCGCGACAGTGAGCCGCGACGAGGCAACGTGACGGGGAAGGGCGACGGGGAAGGAAGCGGCGGTTCGAGGGGCCGACGTGGGGCAAGAGCAGCGGCACGAAACAGCGGGTCGACGAACGCCGTCACTCCCGCCGCGACCGTCGCGTCTGTCACGACTACCGTGACGGATTTTGCTACGGGCGAGCGACGGGGAAGGACGGGACGCGCCATCACGATAACTAACGGTGGGCCCTTTTAAAAAATAGGTCGGGAACGACCTAGCTCTGATACCATGTTACGATAGGATCTGAGCTGGTAACCGGGTTTAACTAAGGGCCTAGGCTTAGAAGCCTAGGCCAAGCGGGTATCGAGGGAGTTGTGCCAAGGGAGAATCGAGAAATGGATGGTTTCACAATAGGTTTGCAAGAACATATAGCAAAAGAACAAGAGAAGGTGCACCACCAAATAGCAAGGAAGCATAACTACACTAAAGCTAAAGCTACAAGCTAAAGCTACACTACCTATCCTCTCCTCCACCCACCTGTCCTCTCCCCTCCCCCTCTCTACCCTCCCCCAACCCTCCCAACCCCCCTGTTCGATCCCCTGCTGCCTCTCTCACTCCCTGAACCTCACCTCCCAATCTCCCCGCCCCCCCTGTACCCCCGTCCGCTCTCTGCTGCTCTCGCCCCTGCCCCATCCCCGAGCCCACACCCTGAGGCGCGGCACCCTGAGCCTGCGACCTGTGCTGGCTCTCCTGCTGCTGCCTTTGTTGTCCCCCCTCTCCGATCTGGCTGGTCTGCACCCCCTGCCGTCCCCTCTGTCCGCCTGCCCCTCGCGCCACCCGACCCCGCAGCTGATGCTGTCCCCACTGTGCCCCGCCGCCCGGCTGTCCCGCCTCAGCCCTCTGTTCCAGTGGTCCCCCAGCCCGTGTCCCCTCTCCCACCACCGGCTGTCCCAGCAGTCTCGCTCGAGCTGCCTCCAGGTGTGTGAACAGCGTAGAGTCCTCCACCTTCACCGCGAAGCCCGCCTCGACAGCGAAGTCTCGAAGCGCGAACTTCACCGTGTCGTGGATGACAGTGGCGACGCCGAATCGTAGGCACCGAACCGCGTGGTGAGGCACCGTCATGTCGTCGATCGCCTGTCCACAGGAGCACTGACCTGTGAGGGCTAACTGGGGGACAGGGAGACCAAGACGACATGATGAAGCCACCTGCCACTGCGCCTCCGGAATGCGCAGGGCGTCTGCGTATGGCACCGCCTGCAGCCACCCTCCTGCACCTACGCCCTGAAGGGACGTCAAACGGGCAAGGTGCAAGGGAGAGGTGTGACAGGCACGCACGGCCTCCAGAAGGCAGCTCGCTCCTGCAAAAAGGGAATCGGGGGAGGCAGAGGCACAAGAGGGCCAGGGTGGGAGGAGAGAGAGGATGTCAGGTGGAAGGCCCTCCAGCGTCGTCCGTAGGGAGGGGTCGATCTGCTCCGTCTCACCGGAAGCAAAGCTCTGCCGAAAGACCTCACCGCACGCCGGGAGAGAACAGAGGATGGGTGCACACTGCACCCAAGAGCACACGAAACTCACCGGGGCAATGCGCTCCATGCGACGAATGCCGAAACCCCCAAGGCGGATGGGGAGGAAGATCTGGTCGCTGGCGGCATCTCTGACGTCCTCGCGGCATGCCCAGGTCCCTGACGCTAAAAGCTGCTGAAAAGTCTCTCCCAGGCGTGCGTCCTAGCGTGCGAAGCTGGAGAGCACTGCGGGTGAGGGAGGGACAGTCCTCGACAGGTACTGCGGGCGAGTGCTGACACATGCCGAAAGAAGGCGAGCAGCTGTCTGGGGCTGGCGCAACCTCGGAAGCCAAGGTAGCACCCGCCCCATCTTCTCGAGACGATCCGGGACGCTGCGCTCCACAAACGAAACGGTACCCACCGGCACGCCCGTCACAGTGAATCCTGGGCGTGCAACCTTTGACCCCAAGACTCGTGAAAGCCTCCACGTCCCTGGACAAAAAAGACCCAGCCTGGTAGACGAGGCACTTGTGCGATTGGACCGCGAGGCCCATCTCGCCCAAGCGCCTCACGATCTCGGAGAAATGGTGTAGCACCCTGTCTGGGGGACCTAGCACGTACGTGTCGTCGGCGTACGACCAGAGCTGGACATCACCCTCCGTCAGAACCGGCTCCAGGGCAAGTCGCTGTGTCAGAGCGTACAGGAAGGGGCTGAGGGGGTCTCCCTGGTGACTACCACACTCCGAGTGCATCGTGACCACTCCCTCACCTGTCCTGTAGTGGAGATCCAAGGGCGTCCCGTAGAAAAGGCCGATGAAAAGGATGAGGCACTGGAACTCTGGGCTGGCCTGCAAAGCCTGGAACATCATGTCTCGGTGAAATGAGTTAAACGCGTTTGCCACGTCTAGCTGTAGGACCACCCAGTCCGGGTGGTCAGCCAGAGCACGGTGGACACCTCTAACTACGACCTCTGTGCCACACGTCACCCCCACCCCAAACTGCTGGGACGCCAAGAAGGTCGCGTAGCTGGAAGCAAACTGCTCGCGAAAGAATGCGGACCAACACCTCGCCAATGGAAATCGGCCGAACATCCATGTTCGACTTCGCCAGAGCCACGAGGGTGGAAGACGCCAGTAAAGAGCGCGTAGCTGGAGCGCAACGACCTCGGAGCCACTGCTGGTACACAGCTAGAAGAGAGGGGAGACTCTGAGGGAAAGCCAGGAAAGTGTCTCGAAGGTGCTCAGCAACCCACCTGGACGGTCCCCCCGAGGAGCCACGCGGAGCTGTGAAGATGGCGCGACGTAGGTGGTCCGTCGAGAGTACGAGAGCAGTCCCCTGGTAGTCCGACAGCCAAGCTGGGGTCGGCCTCTCCGCGTTGGGGTGCTTCGACTTCAGGCGCTGTGTCGTCCCCTGTGTATCTGGGGCGGCCTCCGCGGACTCGAGAGCCGCGCAGGCCCGTGAGGTCTCATTGCAAGCTGCCAGACGGAGGCAACGAGCAATGCGACGCTCATCTGCGGTGGACTGGGTGGCGACGGGACGTGCGCGCCGGGATGTGCGTCGAGGAAGGGGGGTGCGACGGATCAGGGCCTCAGAGAGTAGCTCTGTCCACTCACCTCGCATGAAGCGGGAGACCCGTGCTGCGATGGCAGTCGTGTGCGAGCGGTCTGGCGGGGTCGCCTGCGTGAGGAGAAGTGTGGGTGCAGTGGCGAGGAGGAAGGTCGGGCCCGGAGCCTCGGGATCCTGGGATACACGGGCCAAGATCGTGCAGAGGACGTCAAGATATCCTCCGCGGACCCTAGCAGGAATGCGTCGAAGAGGGCGGGCGTGGGTGCGCTCTGGCGAGAAATACTCCGTCCAATCGAAGGATTCCAACGTCTGCCACTGTGCATCTGTGAAATGCGTCCTCGTCCCTTGTGGCTCCGAGAGGGATGGGAGGACAGATGAGGTGTCGTGGAGGGTCTGTGCCCTACGAGCCGCGTCCGCAGGATGGCAGAAGGGCGTGTGGTGCTGAAGGGCACGTCGGTTCGCGAGAGAGCTCCTGCAGGTGGGGCATCTCACGACCTGGTCGGGTGATGTCGCTGTGTCGGTGGGGTCGATCGGGGCCGTGGCGTCGGAACTGGCTGTAGAGGGGGCCCCATGGGTGGCCTGAGCTGCAAGAGGATTGCCTGGGATAAGGGGAGGAGAGGACTCACCGGCCCCATGCCTGGGGGGTGTCTGAGAAAAAAGAGGTGGTGCCCCACAGGATGGGGCCGGGCCTCGTGGCGGGTACCGGTCCCGAAGCTAGGGAGGGGGGACGTGGAGGTGAGCCTGAAGTGTGCGCCGTGGTGTGCCCCTATCCCTCGGCGGGGTGCGGTCCAAGTGGCGGCTCTGCTACCCCAGGCGGGGGGGTCTGGGCAGGGGCAGATGCCTCATCCCTAATGCCGGTGCCCTCCTGCGCCACGGGTTGTGTCTCGGCAACAGGCTGAACGGGGGGAGGCGCCACCACGTCTAGGTGCGAGCGACACGGCCTCGGAACCAGGTCTGTCTCCATCGGGGATGGGAGTGACGCGCCTGGATGAGTAGTGGGGGGGATAAAAGAAGGGACAGAACGGGTGACCTCCGCATACGTCCGGGTCCGGACCTGTGGGATTGATAGGGTGGGGGCAGCCGGGGAGCTGCTCGGGCTCCGTATCGCCAGCAAATCTGAGATGGCACCCCTCACCTCCTGTGGGGTCCCGGTGACCTGCCTGCCTGCTGGTGAGGGTAGGAGGGCTGGCAGGGTAGAGGGTGGGGTGGGGCGTGTTGGCTGAGCAGAGCTCGGGTGTGGACCCTGCCCTAGAAAGCCCCCTTTGCCCTCCCCAAACACCATGGGTTGCGGTAGGGGGGCGTCGACATGGATGGGGTGGGAGGCATGGGAGGGGGAGTCGGTGGCATCTGCCATGGGCGCATCCCTCATCCTGTCGGCCTCCATCCCGGCTGCCGCCACCTGGGGGGGGTTTATTGGAAGGGAGAGGCGGCCCAGGGGTGGGTGGGCTGGATCGCTCCCATGGCCCTGTGGAGGGGCAGGTACGAGAGGGGGGTGTGAGTTTGGTGGTTGGCCTGTAGGGGTAGGGCCTGGTACACTCTCTGTGGGATGTGGGGTGAGGAGGGGCGGCTGGAGGGGAAGGGAGGGAGGGGGGAGTAGGTGAGCTGGCCCCTTGCCGCCTTTGCCTTTCTTCTTCCGTCGACGGCCAACCTGGTTTTGGTTGTCCCTGTCTGGTTGTGAGGGAAGGGCGGGCTGAGAGGCCAAGGGGATAGGTGAGGGGAGGATGGGTGGTTGGCTAGATAGAGGAAGCTCAGTGTGCATCCCCCCCCTCCCCATGACATCACCCTCCGTGCTGGGCTGTATGTGGGGGGCGATGTCTGCCCAACGGGGCCACTCGTGGTGAGGCAGGCTGTAGGCGGGGGTTGTGGGTGGGGGGCGAAGGGCTGGAGCAATGTAGCGGTTAGGGCGTGGTGCTTGTGATGGAGGGAGTGAGGTCTGTGGTGGCTGCGTGGTGGAAGGGGGGGGATTGGGGGGGGAATGAGGTTCAGAGGTTGTGCCCCCATGCTGTAAGTTGGCACCAGAGCCCCTCCCACTGGCGGCCCCTCCTGTGGGCCCCGCGCCCATGGTGTCGTCGCCTCCCTGAGCTAGGGGCAGGGGCCCACGAGGGTGGGTCTTGGATGCTTGGGGGTGGTGGTGTGAGGAGGGTGGGAGGGTTGGGGTTGTGCGGCAGATTGGGTGATTTGGGTGCGTGTAGGGTGTGGGGCGATGCGGGGATGGAGGCGGGTGTGGCAGGGTTGAGGTTTGAACCTCTGAAATGTGCATAGCCCCGGGTGGGGGAGGACCTGGAGGGGGTGGGGGTAGTGGGCTGGTTGGGGGTGACTGGATGGTGTTAGGGGTCGCGGAGCACGGCTCCGCCAAGAAGGCCAGGGCCCTGGCTGCTCCCCGTGATGCTAGAGGGAGCCCCTGAGGGTGGGGGCAGGAGTGTGCTGCTCTTAGGGGAGAGGAAAGGGGCGAGGAGGGGTGAGGGGCAAAAATGGGGCTGGGTGCAGGAGGCTCTGCCCTTGCCATTCCCGCGTGTTCTCCTGGCGGACCGCCTGCGAGCGTGGGGTCAGGTGTTGTGGGAAGAGGGGGGGGCTGGCCAAAACACTGCGTAGGGGTCGGGGAGCACGGCTCTGCCAAGAAGGCCAGGGCCTTGGCTGCCCCCATGGACGCTACAGGTAGTCCCTGAGGGTGGGGGCGGGGATGTGGTGCTCTTGGGGGGGGGGGGGGGTGGGCTGGAGGATGAGGGGTAAGGATGGGAGCGCCCCCGAGAGGCTCTGTCCTCAAATTCTCCTCCAGTCCCTCATAAGGCTGCAGGGGGCCTGGGTCGGCCTCACCGTCAGGTGTGAGGTATTGGGCCAGTGGCCCGTCGATGTGCATCAAGTCTTCTACCGCATCCTCGTCCATCACTACCACATCCCCTCCTCCCAAAACCCCCCTAGTTGGAACCCCACCCACCCCTCCTGCCCCTATGTCCCCTGAGCCCGCCCCCCCTGCTGGCTCTTTACTGCCAGCCCTTTCTGCGACCTCTTCCGCTCCAGATACAGCCTCTGTCGGCCCCGCTGTGGCCTCTACTGCACCTGCTGCCGCCTCTGCCGCCCCTGCTGGCCGTGCCATGGTCCCCTCTGTTGCTCCAGCTGCAGCCCCACCTGCTGCGGCGGATGCAGCCCCCTCGTCTGTCTGTGCCGCCTCTGCTGTCCCCTCTCCCGCTGCAGCCCCCGCTGTGCCCTCTCCCGCTGCGGCCGGGGCACCCGCCCCCGCCACACTCTCTCCCAATTCAGCCCCCCCAGCCCTCTCACCTGTTGTAGCTCCTGCTGTCCGCCCCCCTGCTGCACTCCCCCCTGCTGCACTTACCACTGCTGTAGCCTCTGCAGCTATCCCCACCACACCACCCTTCTCTGCTACTGCCCCCCCTGCTGCAGCGTCTGCTGCACTGCCGCCCGCTACCGCAGGGGCCTCTGCAGCCCCGACAACTGCGGCGGCTGCCGCTTTATCCCCTGCCGCCTGATGTGCTGCAGCTCTCCCAGTCTCTTCCGCAACTACACCCACCAAACCAGGAGCTGCCCCCTCTGCCACAGGTCCTGCCCCCCCTGACACAGCTCGCAGTGTCCTTCCAGCAGCCTCTGCTGCCTTGTCTGCAGCCCCTGCCATCCCAGCTGGGGCCTGTGCCACTCCTGCTGTGTACTCTGCCGCCCTTGCTGTGGCCTGTGCCACTCCTGCTGCCCGAGCTTCCCGCGCTATCCGGCTCGTGCCGTCCGTGCCTGCAGCTCTGTCCACTGCGGTCTCTGCCGCCCCTGCTGTGGCCTGTGCCACCCCTGCTGTACAGCCCGTGCTGCTTGTGCGTGCAGCCACATCCTCTGCTGCTCCTGCAGCCCGGCTGCTGCCATTCGCACCGATTCAGGGCCTGCCGCCTCTGTAGCGGCTCCCAGGGCCCTTTGTGGTGCATCTGCAGCCCCCGCTGCAGCACTCGCCGCCCCGCTTGCGGCTCCTGCCGCCACCACTGTGGCCTCTCCCCCCCCTGCTGCGGCCTCTGCCGCCCCTTCAGTGGCTTGTGCCGCCACTGCTGCCCGTGCTGTCCCGGCCGTGCCGCTCATGTATGCAGCTCTCTCCTCTGCCGCCTCTGCAGCCCTAATTGCTGCCGTCCCCACCGACTCAGGAGCTGCCGTCCCAGCGGCGGCTCCTGCTGCCCTTCCTGCCGCCTCAGCACCCCTCTGTGCAGTCCTTTCCGTAACAACCGCAGCCTCTGCCACCCTTGCGGCGTTCTCTGCTGCCTCTGCCGTGGCATGTGCCACCTCACGTGTGGTTCCTGCAGCCCCACCTGCATCTGCCTCTTCCACATCCATAGTCACACCCCCTGGTGTGCCTCCCTCAGGAGCCTCTGCCGCCCCCAACACATCCTTTGCTGGCCCCACCGCAACCCCAGCTGCCCCTGCCGCATCCCTTGCTGCCTTCACCACATCCCTTGCTGCCCCACCCACAGCTTTTGCTGTCCCACCCGCTTTCCCAGTGGGGGTGGGGTCTGCTGTGTTCCCCAGGTTTGGGTCCGGTACTTGTGTTTTTTTTATGTGACTTGGTCTTTCGGGTATGGGTGCGGGTGGGTGCGGTGGAAAGCGGCTCCGCATCCTGCTGGGCTGCACTGTTGACGCATCCTGAAGAGGGGGGCTGTGGGGGGACAGGAGGATTGTGGCGCGTCTTAGAGCGAGGGTGTGCCCCCTTTCGTTCTTTGTCATGTGCAGGTGGGTGTGGTTGTGTTCCTGTCTCTTCTAGGGCACGTTTTTGACCCCGGGGGTCAGTGTGTGTGTCGCCGGTGATTGCCTGGTCGTTGGTGACCGGGTTTTTCTGAGCAGATGAAGGGGGAGGGTAGGGGGTAGGGCGGCCCGAGGTCCTGCCCGAGCGTCGGGCTGATCCAGGCTCCGCATCCTCCCCCCTGGGGGGACGACGTGGCATGAATGACTATGGTGGCTGCATGGTCAGGGCAGGGAGGTGGTATGAGGGGATGGGGTTTGAGGGGGTATATGGGGTATGGGAGGAAAGGGAGGACTGTGCGGGAGGGGGTGGGTGGGGGGGTGGGGGAGGGGAGTGTGTGTGTGTGTGTGTGTGCGAGAGAAAGAGAGAGATAGAGAGAGAGAGAGAGAGAGAGAGAGAGGGAGAGAGGGAGAGATAGAGAGAGAGAGAGAGAGAGAGAGAGAGAGAGAGGGAGAGGGGGGGGGGAGAAGGGTGGGAGGGGGGCTGGTGGTGGGGACGGGCTGATGGTGGTAAGAGGGCAGCAGGGATGGGGAGAAAGGAGCGTAATGAGGGGAAAGCAAAGGGCAGGGGGGGAGGAAGGGAGGGGCAGGGAGGGAAGAGGGTGAACGTACAAAGAAAACGAGGGGAAACGAGGGGCATGGATGGTAGGAAACAAGGGCAGGGATGCGGGAAATCAAGGGCAGGGAGGGGAGAAGCAATGGGTGCGGGGAAAACAAGGGAGGGGCAGAGGGGGTACAAGGTGATCTCAGGGAGGGAAGAAACGTGGGGCAGGGAGGGGAGAAACCAAAGACAGGGGCATGGGCAGGCGGGGGCAGGGAGGGAGCAAAGGAGAGGCATGGAGAAAGAAAGGGAGGTGCAGGGAGGGGAGAAACCGGGCGTGGGGGGGCAGAAAATGAGGGGCAGGGCGGGGAGGAGGGAGAGGCAGGGAAGGGGGAAAGGTGGGGCAGGGAGGTGGGAAGCCAAGGGCAAGTGGAGGAGAGTGGGGGGCCAGGGAGAGGGGGGAGGTGGGGAGCGGAGAAAGGCGGCGAGGGGCAGGGAGGGGAGAAACCAAGCATAGGGGGGCGAGAAACGAGGGGCAGGGTGCGGATTGAGGAGGGGCAGGGAGTGGAGTGGGTTAGCGAGCGGAAGGAAGAGGCGTGCAGCAGAGGAGGGGAGGGGGGAGGCGAAGGTAAACGAGGGGAGGGCACGGGCGGGGAGGAGCGAATGGCGAGCGGTGGGTAACGGCGAGGGGGGCAGGGAGGGTCAAAAGAGGCGGCGAGGGAGCAGGCACGCGGAGGGTAGGGGCGGGGGGAGCGGATGGCATGAGGGGGCAGGGGGTGTGACTATGAAGGGGGGACCCGGGCAAGGGGTGTGTACCGGTCAGGGCACGGGATTGTCGTGGTACGATCATACCTCGGCTACTACGCCGGATCCCATCAGAACTCCGAAGCTAAGCGCCGGTGGGCGAGAGCAGTTATTTATTGATAAGGGAAAACAATTACAAGCCGGATATAAGTGTTTTTCCAAAAGGAGGAAATTTCGGCATGACAACTACTCTATGAGGACGATATATATTGTCTGTAGGGAAATGAAGTAAGAAAGAAGAAGAAAAGGTCAAGGAGTGAAAAGATGTAGTAGGGAAAAGAAGAGAGTGGTAGTAAGAGAAGAGAAAAGATAGAGGAAGGGAAAAGAAAGAGGAGGAGAGGAGAGAGGGAAAGAGACTAAGGAGAAGGAAGCACCAAGGGACCAGACACGGCAGCAACCCGCACAAACAAACGCGGGCACAGCGTTTCAAGCACAGCCACTAAACTCTCTACACATATGCATCATACATATATTGTATATCGGCAACACTCTCGAAGCACCCTGTGATATGGTTCCAGGTACCCTGCCCCGCACCCAGTGGGACGGGTGCGGGCATCCACCCGTCGTCGGATCCCCCCAACTGCCGCACCGCATGCTGTAAGATGCATTGAGCCTGCGCGCGCTGCAGTGCCACGGAGAGACGTGTAGTGAGTCCTGTCTCAAATATCCGTGCCGATCCGTCATCCCCCCCTCCCCAATCCCTCCTCCGCTGTGCTATCCTCTTCGCGCAGAGCCCCAGGAACTGACACAACGGCTCGCTCAGTAGGCCAAAGGTCTCAGCCACGCACGCGCAGAACTGTGGTGCCGGCTGCAACCCCTCTAGGTGCGGCCCCCAGTGACGCAGCTTCTCCTGCACCCGCCTAGCTGCTGCCACTCCAATCTGTGTGGGGGTCGCCCGTCTCAGCTGCACGTTCCCCTCCCGCTGTGGATCTGCTATGGAGATATCCACAAGAACCATCATCATAGTCTGCCCAACATCGCGGCAGGTGAGGTCTGGGATGCGGGAGGAGGTGCCTGCACGGCCTGTGCGTCCGGCTGGTCCCTGCTGATGCGCTGGCTGCTGCCCTGTCTGGTCCCTCGGTGCCTCCTCTCCAGTCGTCTCTCTCCCCCTATCCTCTCCTCCACCCACCTGTCCTCTCCCCTCCCCCTGTCTACCCTCCCCCAACCCTCCCAACCCCCCTGTTCGATCCCCTGCTGCCTCTCTTACTCCCAGAACCTCACCTCCCAAACTTCCCGCCCCCCCTGTACCCCCGTCCGCTCTCTGCTTCTCTCGCCCCTGCCCCACCACCGAGCCCACACCCTGAGGCGCGGCGCCCTGAGCCCGCGACCTGTGCTGGCTCTCCTGCTGCCGCCTCTACTGTCCCCCCTCTCCGCCCTGGCTGGTCTGCACCCCCTGCCGTCCCCTCTGCCCACCTGCCCCTCGCGCCACCTGACCCCGCAGCTGATGCTGTCCCCACTGTGCCCCGCCGCCCGGCTGTCCCGCCTCAGCCCTCTCCTCTGTTACGATACGATCTGAGCTGGTAACCGGGTTTAACTAAGGGCCTAGGCTTAGAAGCCTAGGCCAAGCGGGTATCGAGGGAGTTGTGCCAAGGGAGAATCAAGAAATGGATGGTTTCACTATAGGTTTGCAAGAACATATAGCAAAAGAACAAGAGAAGGTGCACCACCAAATAGCAAGGAAGCATAACTACACTAAAGCCAAAGCTACAGGCAGTTATAAATATATATAAAATGTACAGCGCGACACACCCCCTTAACTACCTGTAGCACATAACTAGAGCAAGTCACACCCCCGGAACCTGGGCAAGAGGTAGGAGAAGCAGAGGAAACAGCAACACAGATCAGCCATGATAAATGCAACAACGGCATGTGCAAGACCCGAGAGGTGGGCGTGAGAGCAAGCGCCGTGGCTGCAACGAGCAGCTGGACAGCGCGGCTCAGCACCTTCGGAGGCGTGCCTGCTACACGCAGCAGGTGCAGTGATTGCAGATAGGGCCACAGTGACCTCAGCCACGGCAGATGCAGCAGCGACAGGTGCAGGACCCGGCAGGTGGGCGTGAGAGCAGGCGCTGTGGCTGCAACGAGCAGCTGGACAGCACCGGTCAGCACCTCCGGGGGCGTGCCTGCTACAGGCAACGGCTGCAAATGCCCGACTTACTTCTTCCACCCCCTTACCCGCCCACTCAACCCCTCTGGTGCTGGCGGCTGGCGCTGGTGCTGGTTCCTGGTGCTGGCGGCTGGCGCTAGTGCTGGTTCCTGGTGCTGGCGCTGGTGCTGGTGCTGGTTCCTAGTGCTGGCGGCTGGCGCTGGTGCTGGTTCCTGGTGCTGGCGGCTGGCGCTGGTGCTGGTTCCTGGTGCTGGCGGCTGGCGCTGGTGCTGGTTCCTGGTGCTGGCGGCTGGCGCTGGTGCTGGTTCCTGGTGCTGGCGGCTGGCGCTGGTGCTGGTTCCTGGTGCTGGTGCTGGTGCTGGTGCTGGTTCCTGGTGCTGGCGGCTGGTGCTGGTGCTGGTTCCTGGTGCTGGCGGCTGGCGCTGGTGCTGGTTCCTGGTGCTGGCGGCTGGCGCTGGTGCTGGTTCCTGGTGCTGGCGACTAGTGCTAGTGCTGGTTCCTGGTGTTGGCGCTGGTGCTGGTGCTGGTTCTTGGTGCTGGCGGCTGGCGCTGGTGCTGGTTCCTGGTGCTGGCGGCTGGCGCTTGTGCTGGTTCCTGGTGCTCGCTCTTGACAGCCGCCCACCACCCCTTTCCCCCACTCCTTCCCCCCCCTCACATGAGCCGCCAACCCCTCCACGCCACTCCCGCCATTCCCGCCGCCGCCCCACCGTCCGCCACACCCACCACCGTGCAACACGGCATAGGCAGGCGCGGTAGAGGGGGAAGGCGCAATGAGGGAGGGACGGGGAGGGGCAGAGACAGCGCGGGTATGGGAGGAAACTGCAGTTGCTGACGCGGCAGATGCAGGCGGGGCAGGGACGGGTCGTGCAGGGCGGGGTGCAAGCTGGCTGGCGCGTCGGTTGGCGAGCTGGATGGCGCGTTGGTTGGGCCACCACCCCTTTCCCCCTTCCCTCCTCCCCTCCCCCACCGCGACCGTCGCTGCAACCGCGCAGGGCAGGGACGGGTGGGGAAGAGGTGGCGGGGTGGGGAGCTGACGACGGGCTTGCTCGCGGGCTCGCGGGTCAGTTGGTTCACTTGCTAGTGGGTCTGCGGGTCTGCTGGTTCGTTTACTGGCGGGCTTGCGGGTCGTGGACGATCTGTAGCATGAAGTGGTGCAGCAGCAGCTTCTCCCGCCACTTCCTCCACGCCCGCCATTCCCGCTACTCCCGCCACGCCCGCCATTCCCGCCACTCCCGCCACGCCTGCCACTCCCTTCACAGCAGCTGCGAAGTCGATGGGAGGGCAGGCGGGGACGGAACGGGACAAGACGGAACGCGGGCTGGCGCTGGTGCTCAAGTGACGGTCGCCACCCTTTTCCCCCTCTCCTCTCCCCCCCCCACTGCGACCGTCGACGTTTCCGCGACAGTGAGCCGCGACGAGGCAGCGTGACGGGGAAGGGCGACGGGGAAGGCAGCGGCGGTTCGAGGGCCGACGGGGGGCAAGAGCAGCGGCACGAAACAGCGGGTCGACGAACGCCGTCACTCCCGCCGCGACCGTCGCGACTGTCACGACTACCATGACGGATTTTGCTACGGGCGAGCGACGGGGAAGGACGGGACGCGCCATCACGATAACTAACGGTGGGCCCTTTTAAAAAAATAGGTCGGGAACGACCTAGCTCTGATACCATGTTACGATACGATCTGAGCTGGTAACCGGGTTTAACTAAGGGCCTAGGCTTAGAAGCCTAGGCCAAGCGGGTATCGAGGGAGTTGTGCCAAGGGAGAATCGAAAAATGGATGGTTTCACTATAGGTTTGCAAGAACATATAGCAAAAGAACAAGAGAAGGTGCACCACCAAATAGCAAGGAAGCATAACTACACTAAAGCTAAAGCTACAGGCAGTTATAAATATATATAAAATATGTAGCGCGGCATCCTCCAGTGGTCCCCCAGCCCGTGTCCCCTCTCCCACCACCGGGTGTCCCAGAAGTCTCGCTCGAGCTGCCTCCAGGTGTGTGAACAGCGTAGAGTCCTCCACCTTCACCGCGAAGCCCGCCTCGACAGCGAAGTCACGAAGCGCGAACTTCACCGTGTCGTGGATGACAGTGGCGACGCCGAATCGTGGGCACCGAACCGCGTGGTGAGGCACCGTCATGTCGTCGATCGCCTGAGCACTGACCTGTGAGGGCTAACTGGGGGACAGGGAGACCAAGACGACATGATGAAGCCACCTGCCACTGCGCCTCCGGAATGCGCAGGGCGTCTGCGTATGGCACCGCCTGCAGCCACGCTCCTGCATCTACGCCCTGAAGGGAAGTCCAACGGGCAAGGTGCAAGGGAGAGGTGTGACGGGCACGCACGGCCTCCAAGACATGCGCCTCCAGGTGGGCGAGAGCAGTATTGGGCTGGGTGACCTCCCGGGAAGTCCTCGTGTTGTACCCATTTATGCCCCTTGCTCGGCACGGGCCGGGGAGGGGCAAGCGGGAAAAGAAAGGACGATTTTAGCGCGTCCGACTTTTTTATTTCCGTTTTTTTGCCCGAACAACCAGTCAGCGGAGTGGGGGGCCCCCGGGAAGGCTTGCCCGCGCGAAGAAACGCCCCGTGTGCACCACCGTTGGGCGGTTGGAAGCCGCACACGATCGCGGGGGTGGAGAGCGGAAACGGGCAGCCGGGGGAGGGTGGGGGCGGTTGGACGGGAGTGGGGTGTACGGGGGGCAGGGGAGTCGAGGGGGCAAGGGGAGGGGCAGCAACGGGATAGGGCAGCAACGGGCAGGGGCTGGGCCAGCTGAGGGCAAGGAAAAGGGGCGGGCAGAGGGTGAGCAGAGGGGCGAGCGATGCAAGGGATGCACCAGAGGGGGGGAATCCAGTTGAACGGAGGTGAGAGGTGAGGGGCGTGCGAGGGGGTGGAACAGGGGCAGGGAGGGGCAGAACGGGAGGATGTGGGTGGGGGGTGGGGGAGGGGAGTGTGTGTGTGTGTGTGTGTGTGCGAGAGAAAGAGAGAGAGAGAGAGAGAGAGAGAGAGAGATAGAGGGAGAGAGAGAGAGAGAGAGAGAGGGAGAGGGGGGGGGGGGGGAGAAGGGTGGGAGGGGGGCTGGTGGTGGGGACGGGCTGATGGTGGTAAGAGGGCAGCATGGATGGGGAGAAGGGAGCGTAACGAGGGGAAAGCAAAGGGCAGGGGGGGAGGAAGGGAGGGGCAGGGAGGGAAGAGGGTGAACGTACAAAGAGGGGAAACGAGGGGCATGGATGGTAGGAAACAAGGGCAGGGGTGCGGGAAATCAAGGGCAGGGAGGGGAGAAGCAATGGGTGCGGGGAAAACAAGGGAGGGGCAGAGGGGGTACAAGGTGATCTCAGGGAGGGAAGAAACGTGGGGCAGGGAGGGGAGAAACCAAAGACAGGGGCATGGGCAGGCGGGGGCAGGGAGGGAGCAAAGGAGAGGCACGGAGAAAGAAAGGGAGTTGCAGTGAGGGGAGAAACCGGGCGTGGGGGGTGGGGAGGAGGGAGAGGCAGGGAGGGGAGAAGCTGAGCACACGGAGGGGGGAAAGGTGGGGCAGGGAGGTGGGAAGCCAAGGGCAAGTGGAGGAGAGTGGGGGGGCAGGGAGAGGGGGGAGGTGGGGAGCAGAGAAAGGCGGCGAGGGGCAGGGAGGGGAGAAACCAAGCATAGGGGGGCGAGAAACGAGGGGCAGGGTGCGGATTGAGGAGGGGCAGGGAGTGGAGTGGGTTAGCGAGGGGAAGGAAGAGGCATGCAGCAGAGGAGGGGAGGGGGGAGGAGAAGGTAAACGAGGGGAGGGCACGGGCGGGGAGGAGCGAATGGCGAGCGGTGGGTAACGGCGAGGGGGGCAGGGAGGGTCAAAAGAGACGACGAGGGAGCGGGCACGCGGAGGGTAGGGGCGGGGGGAGCAGATGGCATGAGGGGGCAGGGGGTGTGACTATGAAGGGGGGACCCGGGCAAGGGGTGTGTACCGGTCGGGGCACGGGATTGTCGTGGTACGATCATACCTCGGCTACTACGCCGGATCCCATCAGAACTCCGAAGCTAAGCGCCGGTGGGCGAGAGCAGTTATTTATTGATAAGGGAAAACAATTACAAGCCGGATATAAGTGTTTTTCCAAAAGGAGGAAATTTCGGCATGACAACTACTCTATGAGGACGATATATATTGTCTGTAGGGAAGAGAAGTTAGAAAGAAGAAGAAAAGGTCAAGGAGTGAAATGAAGTAGTAGGGAAAAGAAGAGAGTGGTAGGAAGAGAAGAGAAAATATAGAGAAGAAAGAGGGAGGTGGGAAGAAGAGAGGAGCGAGGGAAAGAGACTAAGGAGAAGGAAGCACCAAGGGACCAGACACGGCAGCAACCCGCACAAACAAACGCGGGCACAGCGTTTCAAGCACAGCCACTAAACTCTCTACAGATATGCATCATACATATATTGCATATCGGCAACACTCTCGAAGCACCCTGTGATATGGTTCCAGGTACCCTGCCCCGCACCCAGTGGGACGGGTGCGGGCATCCACCCGTCGTCGGATCCCCCCAACTGCCGCACTGCATGCTGTAAGATGCATTGAGCCTGCGCGCACTGCAGTGCCACGGAGAGACGTGTAGTGAGTCCTGTCTCAAATATCCGTGCCGATCCGTCATCCCCCCCTCCCCAATCCCTCATCCGCTGTGCTATCCTCTTCGCGCAGAGCCCCAGGAACTGACGCAACGGCTCGCTCGGTAGGCCAAAGGTCTCAGCCACGCACGCGTAAAAGTGTGGTGCCGGCTGCAACCCCTCAAAGTGCGGCCCCCAGTGACGCAGCTTCTCCTGCACCCGTCTAGCTGCTACCACTCCAATCTGTGTGGGGGTCGCCCGTCCCAGCTGCACGTTCCCCTCCCGCTGTGGATCCGCTAAGGAGACATCCACAAGAACCATCAAAGTCTGCCCAACGTCGCGGCAGGTGAGGTCTGGGATGCGGGAGGAGGTGCCTGCACGGCCTGTGCGTCCGGCTGGTCCCTGCTGCTGCGCTGGCTGCTGCCCTGTATGGTCCCTCGGTGCCTCCTCTCCAGTCGTCTCTCTCCCCCTATCCTCTCCTCCACCCACTAGTCCTCTCCCCTCCCCCTCTCTACCCTCCCCCAACCCTCTCAACCCCCTGTTCGATCCCTTGCTGCCTCTCTCACTCCCTGAACCTCACCTCCCAATCTCCCCGCCCCCCCTGTACCCCCGTCCGCTCTCTGCTGCTCTCGCCCCTGCCTCATCCCCGAGCCCACACCCTGAGGCGCGGCACCCTGAGCCTGCGACCTGTGCTGGCTCTCCTGCTGCTGCCTTTGTTGTCCCCCCTCTCCGCTCTGGCTGGTCTGCACCCCCTGCCGTTGCCTCTGTCCGCCTGCCCCTCGCGCCACCCGACCCCGCAGCTGATGCTGTCCCCACTGTGCCCCGCCGCCCGGCTGTCCCGCCTCAGCCCTCTGTTCCAGTGGTCTCCGAGCCCGTGTCCCCTCTCCCACCACCGGCTGTCCCAGCAGTCTCACTCGAGCTGCCTCCAGGTGTGTGAACAGCGTAGAGTCCTCCACCTTCACCGCGAAGCCCGCCTCAACAGCGAAGTCTCGAAGCGCGAACTTCACCGTGTCGTGGATGACAGTGGCGACGCCGAATCGTGGGCACCGAACCGCGTGGTGAGGCACCGTCATGTCGTCGATCCCTGTCCACAGGAGCACTGACCTGTGAGGGCTAACTGGGGGACAGGGAGACCAAGACGACATGATGAAGCCACCTGCCACTGCGCCTCCGGAATGCGCAGGGCGTCTGCGTATGGCACCGCCTGCAGCCACCCTCCTGCACCTACGCCCTGAAGGGAAGTCAAACGGGCAAGGTGCAAGGGAGAGGTGTGACGGGCACGCACGGCCTCCAAGGCATGCGCCTCCAGAAGGCGGCTCGCTCCTGCAAAAAGGGAATCGGGGGAGGCAGAGGCACAAGAGGGCCAGAGTGGGAGGAGAGAGAGGATGTCAGGTGGAAGGCCCTCCAGCGTCGTCCGTAGGGAGGGGTCGATCTGCTCCGTCTCACCGGAAGTAAAGCTCTGCCGAAAGACCTCACCGCACGCCGGGAGCGAACAGAGGATGGGTGTACACTGCACCCAAGAGCACACGAAACTCACCGGGGCAATGCGCTCCATGCGACGAATGCCGAAACCCCCAATGCGGATGGGGAGGAAGATCTGGTCGCTGGCGGCATCTCTGACGACCTCGCGGCATGCCCAGGTCCCTGACGCTAAAAGCTGCTGAAAAGTCTCTCCCAGGCGTGCGTCCCAGCGTGCGAAGCTGGAGAGCACTACGGGCGAGGGAGGGACAGTCCTCGACAGGTAGTGCGGGCGAGTGCTGACACATGCCGAAAGAAGGAGAGCAACTGTCTGGGGCTGGCGCAACCTCGGAAGCCAAGGTAGCACCCGCCCCATCTTCTCGAGACGATCCGGGACGCTGCGCTCCACAAACGAAACGGTACCCACCGGCACGCCCGTCACAGTGAATCCTCGGCGTGCGACCTCGACCCCAAGACTCCTGAAAGCCTCCACGTCCCTGGACAAAAAAGACTCAGTCTGGTAGACGAGGCACTTGTGCGATTGGACCGCGAGGCCCATCTCGCCCAAGCGCCTCACGATCTAGGAGAAATGGTGTAGCACCCTGTCTGGGGGACCTAGCACGTACGTGTCGTCGGCGTACGACCAGAGCTGGACATCACCCTCCGTCAGAACCGGCTCCAGGGCAAGTCGCTGTGTCAGAGCGTACAGGAAGGGGCTGAGGGGGTCTCCCTGGCGACTACCACGCTCCGAGTGCATCGTGACCACTCCCTCACCTGTCCTGTAGTGGAGATCCGAGGGCGTCCCGTAGAAAAGGCCGATGAAAAGGATGAGGCACTGGAACTCTGGTCTGGCCTGCAAAGCCTGGAACATCATGTCTCGGTGAAATGAGTTAAACGCGTTCGCCACGTCTAGCTGTAGGACCACCCAGTCCGGGTGGTCAGCCAGAGCACGGCGGACACCTCTAACTACGACCTCTGTGCCACACGTCACCCCCACCCCAAACTGCTGGGACGCCAAGAAGACCCTCGCCATCTAGTCGCGTAGCTGGAAGCAAACTGCTCGCGAAAGAATGCGGACCAACACCTCGCCAATGGAAATCGGCCGAACATCCATGTTCGACTTCGCCAGAGCCACGAGGGTGGAAGACGCCAGTAAAGAGCGCGTAGCTGGAGCGCAACGACCTCGGAGCCACTGCTGGTACACAGCTAGAAGAGAGGGGAGACTCTGAGGGAAAGCCAGGAAAGTGTCTCGAAGGTGCTCAGCAACCCACCTGGACGGTCCCCCCGAGGAGCCACGCGGAGCTGTGAAGATGGCGCGACGTAGGTGGTCCGTCGAGAGTACGAGAGCAGTCCCCTGGTAGTCCGACAGCCAAGCTGGGGTCGGCCTCTCCGCGTTGGGGTGCTTCGACTTCAGGCGCTGTGTCGTCCCCTGTGTATCTGGGGCGGCCTCCGCGGACTCGAGAGCCGCGCAGGCCCGTGAGGTCTCATTGCAAGCTGCCAGACGGAGGCAACGAGCAATGCGACGCTCATCTGCGGTGGAGTGGGTGGCGACGGCACGTGCGCGCCGGGATGTGCGTCGAGGAAGGGGGGTGCGACGGATCAGGGCCTCAGAGAGTAGCTCTGTCCACTCACCTCGCATGAAGCGGGAGACCCGTGCTGCGATGGCAGTCGTGTGCGAGCGGTCTGGCGGGGTCGCCTGCGTGAGGAGAAGTGTGGGTGCAGCGGCGAGGAGGAAGGTCGGGCCCGGAGCCTCGGGATCCTGGGATACACGGGCCAAGATCGTGCAGAGGACGTCAAGATATCCTCCGCGGACCCTAGCAGGAATGCGTCGAAGAGGGCGGGCGTGGGTGCGCTCTGGCGAGAAATACTCCGTCCAATCGAAGGATTCCAACGTCTGCCACTGTGCATCTGTGAAATGCGTCCTCGTCCCTTGTGGCTCCGAGAGGGATGGGAGGACAGATGAGGTGTCGTGGAGGGCCTGTGCCCTACGAGCCGCGTCCGCAGGATGGCAGAAGGGCGTGTGGTGCTGAAGGGCACGTCGGTTCGCGAGAGAGCTCCTGCAGGTGGGGCATCTCACGACCTGGTCGGGTGATGTCGCTGTGTCGGTGGGGTCGATCGGGGCCGTGGCGTCGGAACTGGCTGTAGAGGGGGCCCCATGGGTGGCCTGAGCTGCAAGAGGATTGCCTGGGATAAGGGGAGGAGAGGACTCACCGGCCCCATGCCTGGGGGGTGTCTGAGAAAAAAGAGGTGGTGCCCCACAGGATGGGGCCGGGCCTCGTGGCGGTACCGGTCCCGAAGCTAGGGAGGGGGGACGTGGAGGTGAGCCTGAAGTGTGCGCCGTGGTGTGCCCCTATCCCTCGGCGGGGTGCGGTCCAAGTGGCGGCTCTGCTACCCCAGGCGGGGGGGTCTGGGCAGGGGCAGATGCCTCATCCCTAATGCCGGTGCCCTCCTGCGCCACGGGTTGTGTCTCGGCAACAGGCTGAACGGGGGGAGGCGCCACCACGTCTAGGTGCGAGCGACACGGCCTCGGAACCAGGTCTGTCTCCATCGGGGACGGGAGTGACGCGCCTGGATGAGTAGTGGGGGGGATAAAAGAAGGGACAGAACGGGTGACCTCCGCATACGTCCGGGTCCGGACCTGTGGGATTGATAGGGTGGGGGCAGCCGGGGAGCTGCTCGGGCTCCGTATCGCCAGCAAATCTGAGATGGCACCCCTCACCTCCTGTGGGGTCCCGGTGACCTGCCTGCCTGCTGGTGAGGGTAGGAGGGCTGGCAAGGTAGAGGGTGGGGTGGGGCGTGTTGGCTGAGCAGAGCTCGGGTGTGGACCCTGCCCTAGAAAGCCCCCTTTGCCCTCCCCAAACACCATGGGTTGCGGTAGGGGGGCGTCGACATGGATGGGGTGGGAGGCATGGGAGGGGGAGTCGGTGGCATCTGCCATGGGCGCATCCCTCATCCTGTCGGCCTCCATCCCGGCTGCCGCCACCTGGGGGGGGTTTATTGGAAGGGAGAGGCGGCCCAGGGGTGGGTGGGCTGGATCGCTCCCATGGCCCTGTGGAGGGGCAGGTACAAGAGGGGGGTGTGAGTTTGGTGGTTGGCCTGTAGGGGTAGGGCCTGGTACACTCTCTGTGGGATGTGGGGTGAGGAGGGGCGGCTGGAGGGGAAGGGAGGGAGGGGGGAGTAGGTGAGCTGGCCCCTTGCCGCCTTTGCCTTTCTTCTTCCGTCGACGGCCAACCTGGTTTTGGTTGTCCCTGTCTGGTTGTGAGGGAAGGGCGGGCTGAGAGGCCAAGGGGATAGGTGAGGGGAGGATGGGTGGTTGGCTAGATAGAGGAAGCTCAGTGTGCATCCCCCCCCTCCCCATGACATCACCCTCCGTGCTGGGCTGTATGTGGGGGGCGATGTCTGCCCAACGGGGCCACTCGTGGTGAGGCAGGCTGTAGGCGGGGGTTGTGGGTGGGGGGCGAAGGGCTGGAGCAATGTAGCGGTTAGGGCGTGGTGCTTGTGATGGAGGGAGTGAGGTCTGTGGTGGCTGCGTGGTGGAAGGGGGGGGATTGGGGGGGGAATGAGGTTCAGAGGTTGTGCCCCCATGCTGTAAGTTGGCACCAGAGCCCCTCCCACTGGCGGCCCCTCCTGTGGGCCCCGCGCCCATGGTGTCGTCGCCTCCCTGAGCTAGGGGCAGGGGCCCACGAGGGTGGGTCTTGGATGCTTGGGGGTGGTGGTGTGAGGAGGGTGGGAGGGTTGGGGTTGTGCGGCAGATTGGGTGATTTGGGTGCGTGTAGGGTGTGGGGCGATGCGGGGACGGAGGCGGGTGTGGCAGGGTTGAGGTTTGAACCTCTGAAATGTGCATAGCCCCGGGTGGGGGAGGACCTGGAGGGGGTGGGGGTAGTGGGCTGGTTGGGGGTGACTGGATGGTGTTAGGGGTCGCGGAGCACGGCTCCGCCAAGAAGGCCAGGGCCCTGGCTGCTCCCCGTGATGCTAGAGGGAGCCCCTGAGGGTGGGGGCAGGAGTGTGCTGCTCTTAGGGGAGAGGAAAGGGGCGAGGAGGGGTGAGGGGCAAAAATGGGGCTGGGTGGAGGCTCTGCCCTTGCCATGCCCGCGTGATCTCCTGGCGGACCGCCTGCGAGCGTGGGGTCAGGTGTTGTGGGAAGAGGGGGGGGCTGGCCAAAACACTGCGTAGGGGTCGGGGAGCACGGCTCTGCCAAGAAGGCCAGGGCCTTGGCTGCCCCCATGGACGCTACAGGTAGTCCCTGAGGGTGGGGGCGGGGATGTGGTGCTCTTGGGGGGGGGGTGGGCTGGAGGATGAGGGGTAAGGATGGGAGCGCCCACGAGAGGCTCTGTCCTCAAATTCTCCTCCAGTCCCTCCAACGGTCCATCTGCCAGCATGGGGTCGGGCATGGGGGGGAAAGGGGGAACCTCGTCATGAGGCATGGGGTCGGCCTCACCGTCAGGTGTGAGGTATTGGGCCAGTGGCCCGTCGATGTGCATCAAGTCTTCTACCGCATCCTCGTCCATCACTACCACATCCCCTCCTCCCAAAACCCCCCTAGTTGGAACCCCACCCACCCCTCCTGCCCCTATGTCCCCTGAGCCCGCCCCCCCTGCTGGCTCTTTACTGCCAGCCCTTTCTGCGGCCTCTTCCGCTCCAGATACAGCCTCTGTCGGCCCCGCTGTGGCCTCTACTGCACCTGCTGCCGCCTCTGCCGCCCCTGCTGGCCGTGCCATGGTCCCCTCTGTTGCTCCAGCTGCAGCCCCAGCTGCTGCGGCGGATGCAGCCCCCTCGTCTGTCTGTGCCGCCTCTGCTGTCCCCTCTCCCGCTGCAGCCCCCGCTGCGCCCTCTCCCGCTGCGGCCGGGGCACCCGCCCCCGCCACACTCTCTCCCAATTCAGCCCCCCCAGCCCTCTCACCTGTTGTAGCTCCTGCTGTCCGCCCCCCTGCTGCACTCCCCCCTGCTGCACTTACCACTGCTGTAGCCTCTGCAGCTATCCCCACCACACCACCCTTCTCTGCTACTGCCCCCCCTGCTGCAGCGTCTGCTGCACTGCCGCCCGCTACCGCAGGGGCCTCTGCAGCCCCGACAACTGCGGCGGCTGCCGCTTTATCCCCTGCCGCCTGATGTGCTGCAGCTCTCCCAGTCTCTTCCGCAACTACACCCACCAAACCAGGAGCTGCCCCCTCTGCCACAGGTCCTGCCCCCCCTGACACAGCTCGCAGTGTCCTTCCAGCAGCCTCTGCTGCCTTGTCTGCAGCCCCTGCCATCCCAGCTGGGGCCTGTGCCACTCCTGCTGTGTACTCTGCCGCCCTTGCTGTTGCCTGTGCCACTCCTGCTGCCCGAGCTTCCCGCGCTATCCGGCTCGTGCCGTCCGTGCCTGCAGCTCTGTCCACTGCGGTCTCTGCCGCCCCTGCTGTGGCCTGTGCCACCCTTGCTGTACAGCCCGTGCTGCTTGTGCGTGCAGCCACATCCTCTGCTGCTCCTGCAGCCCGGCTGCTGCCATTCGCACCGATTCAGGGCCTGCCGCCTCTGTAGCGGCTCCCAGGGCCCTTTGTGGTGCATCTGCAGCCCCCGCTGCAGCACTCGCCGCCCCGCTTGCGGCTCCTGCCGCCACCACTGTGGCCTCTCCCCCCCCTGCTGCGGCCTCTGCCGCCCCTTCAGTGGCTTGTGCCGCCACTGCTGCCCGTGCTGTCCCGGCCGTGCCGCTCATGTATGCAGCTCTCTCCTCTGCCGCCTCTGCAGCCCTAATTGCTGCCGTCCCCACCGACTCAGGAGCTGCCGTCCCAGCGGCGGCTCCTGCTGCCCTTCCTGCCGCCTCAGCACCCCTCTGTGCAGTCCTTTCCGTAACAACCGCAGCCTCTGCCACCCTTGCGGCGTTCTCTGCTGCCTCTGCCGTGGCATGTGCCACCTCACGTGTGGTTCCTGCAGCCCCACCTGCATCTGCCTCTTCCACATCCATAGTCACACCCCCTGGTGTGCCTCCCTCAGGAGCCTCTGCCGCCCCCAACACATCCTTTGCTGGCCCCACCGCAACCCCAGCTGCCCCTGCCGCATCCCTTGCTGCCTTCACCACATCCCTTGCTGCCCCACCCACAGCTTTTGCTGTCCCACCCGCTTTCCCAGTGGGGGTGGGGTCTGCTGTGTTCCCCAGGTTTGGGTCCGGTACTTGTGTTTTTTTATGTGACTTGGTCTTTCGGGTATGGGTGCGGGTGGGTGCGGTGGAAAGCGGCTCCGCATCCTGCTGGGCTGCACTGTTGACGCATCCTGAAGAGGGGGGCTGTGGGGGGACAGGAGGATTGTGGCGCGTCTTAGAGCGAGGGTGTGCCCCCTTTCGTTCTTTGTCATGTGCAGGTGGGTGTGGTTGTGTTCCTGTCTCTTCTAGGGCACGTTTTTGACCCCGGGGGTCAGTGTGTGTGTCGCCGGTGATTGCCTGGTCGTTGGTGACCGGGTTTTTCTGAGCAGATGAAGGGGGAGGGTAGGGGGTAGGGCGGCCCGAGGTCCTGCCCGAGCGTCGGGCTGATCCAGGCTCCGCATCCTCCCCCCTGGGGGGACGACGTGGCATGAATGACTATGGTGGCTGCATGGTCAGGGCAGGGAGGTGGTATGAGGGGATGGGGTTTGAGGGGGTATATGGGGTATGGGAGGAAAGGGAGGACTGTGCGGGAGGGGGTGGGTGGGGGGTGGGGGAGGGGAGTGTGTGTGTGTGTGTGTGTGCGAGAGAAAGAGAGAGATAGAGAGAGAGAGAGAGAGAGAGAGAGAGGGAGAGAGGGAGAGATAGAGAGAGAGAGAGAGAGAGAGAGAGAGAGAGGGAGAGGGGGGGGGGAGAAGGGTGGGAGGGGGGCTGGTGGTGGGGACGGGCTGATGGTGGTAAGAGGGCAGCAGGGATGGGGAGAAAGGAGCGTAATGAGGGGAAAGCAAAGGGCAGGGGGGGAGGAAGGGAGGGGCAGGGAGGGAAGAGGGTGAACGTACAAAGAAAACGAGGGGAAACGAGGGGCATGGATGGTAGGAAACAAGGGCAGGGATGCGGGAAATCAAGGGCAGGGAGGGGAGAAGCAATGGGTGCGGGGAAAACAAGGGAGGGGCAGAGGGGGTACAAGGTGATCTCAGGGAGGGAAGAAACGTGGGGCAGGGAGGGGAGAAACCAAAGACAGGGGCATGGGCAGGCGGGGGCAGGGAGGGAGCAAAGGAGAGGCATGGAGAAAGAAAGGGAGGTGCAGGGAGGGGAGAAACCGGGCGTGGGGGGGCAGAAAATGAGGGGCAGGGCGGGGAGGAGGGAGAGGCAGGGAAGGGGGAAAGGTGGGGCAGGGAGGTGGGAAGCCAAGGGCAAGTGGAGGAGAGTGGGGGGGCAGGGAGAGGGGGGAGGTGGGGAGCGGAGAAAGGCGGCGAGGGGCAGGGAGGGGAGAAACCAAGCATAGGGGGGCGAGAAACGAGGGGCAGGGTGCGGATTGAGGAGGGGCAGGGAGTGGAGTGGGTTAGCGAGCGGAAGGAAGAGGCGTGCAGCAGAGGAGGGGAGGGGGGAGGCGAAGGTAAACGAGGGGAGGGCACGGGCGGGGAGGAGCGAATGGCGAGCGGTGGGTAACGGCGAGGGGGGCAGGGAGGGTCAAAAGAGGCGGCGAGGGAGCAGGCACGCGGAGGGTAGGGGCGGGGGGAGCGGATGGCATGAGGGGGCAGGGGGTGTGACTATGAAGGGGGGACCCGGGCAAGGGGTGTGTACCGGTCAGGGCACGGGATTGTCGTGGTACGATCATACCTCGGCTACTACGCCGGATCCCATCAGAACTCCGAAGCTAAGCGCCGGTGGGCGAGAGCAGTTATTTATTGATAAGGGAAAACAATTACAAGCCGGATATAAGTGTTTTTCCAAAAGGAGGAAATTTCGGCATGACAACTACTCTATGAGGACGATATATATTGTCTGTAGGGAAATGAAGTAAGAAAGAAGAAGAAAAGGTCAAGGAGTGAAAAGATGTAGTAGGGAAAAGAAGAGAGTGGTAGTAAGAGAAGAGAAAAGATAGAGGAAGGGAAAAGAAAGAGGAGGAGAGGAGAGAGGGAAAGAGACTAAGGAGAAGGAAGCACCAAGGGACCAGACACGGCAGCAACCCGCACAAACAAACGCGGGCACAGCGTTTCAAGCACAGCCACTAAACTCTCTACACATATGCATCATACATATATTGTATATCGGCAACACTCTCGAAGCACCCTGTGATATGGTTCCAGGTACCCTGCCCCGCACCCAGTGGGACGGGTGCGGGCATCCACCCGTCGTCGGATCCCCCCAACTGCCGCACCGCATGCTGTAAGATGCATTGAGCCTGCGCGCGCTGCAGTGCCACGGAGAGACGTGTAGTGAGTCCTGTCTCAAATATCCGTGCCGATCTGTCATCCCCCCCTCCCCAATCCCTACTCCGCTGTGCTATCCTCTTCGCGCAGAGCCCCAGGAACTGACACAACGGCTCGCTCGGTAGGCCAAAGGTCTCAGCCACGCACGCGTAGAACTGTGGTGCCGGCTGCAACCCCTCTAGGTGCGGCCCCCAGTGACGCAGCTTCTCCTGCACCCGCCTAGCTGCTGCCACCCCAATCTGTGTGGGGGTCGCCCGTCTCAGCTGCACGTTCCCCTCCCGCTGTGGATCCGCTATGGAGACATCCACAAGAACCATCATCATACTCTGCCCAACGTCGCGGCAGGTGAGGTCTGTGATGCGGGAGGAGGTGCCTGCACGGCCTGTGCGTCCGGCTGGTCCCTGCTGCTGCGCTGGCTGCTGCCCTGTCTGGTCCCTCGGTGCCTCCTCTCCAGTCGTCTCTCTCCCCCTATCCTCTCCTCCACCCACCTGTCCTCTCCCCTCCCCCTCTCTACCCTCCCCCAACCCTCCCAACCCCCCTGCTCGATCCCCTGCTGCCTCTCTCACTCCCAGAACCTCACCTCCCAAACTCCCCGCCCCCCCTGTACCCCCGTCCGCTCTCTGCTGCTCTCGCCCCTGCCCCACCCCCGAGCCGACACCCTGAGGCGCGGCGCCCTGAGCCCGCGACCTGTGCTGGCTCTCCTGCTGCCGCCTCTGCTGTCCCCCCTCTCCGCCCTGGCTGGTCTGCACCCCCTGCCGTCCCCTCTGCCCACCTGCCCCTCGCGCCACCTGACCCCGCAGCTGATGCTGTCCCCACTGTGCCCCGCCGCCCGGCTGTCCCGCTTCAGCCCTCTGCTCCAGTGGTCCCCCAGCCCGTGTCCCCTCTCCCACCACTGGCTGTCCCACCAGTCTCGCTCGAGCTGCCTCCAGGTGTGTGAACAGCGTAGAGTCCTCCACCTTCACCGCGAAGCCGGCCTCGACAGCGAAGTCTCGAAGCGCGAACTTCACCGTGTCGTGAATGACAGTGGCGACGCCGAATCGTGGGCACCGAACCGCGTGGTGAGGCACCGTCATGTCGTCGATCGCCTGTCCACAGGAGCACTGACCTGTGAGGGCTAACTGGGGGACAGGGAGACCAAGACGACATGATGAAGCCACCTGCCACTCCGCCTCCGGAATGCGCAGGGCGTCTGCGTAAGGCACTGCCAGCAGCCACGCTCCTGCACCTACGCCCTGAAGGGAAGTCAAACGGGCAAGGTGCAAGGGAGAGGTGTGACGGGCACGCACGGCCTCCAAGGCATGCGCCTCCAGAAGGCGGCTCGCTCCTGCAAAAAGGGAATCGGGGGAGGCAGAGGCACAAGAGGGCCAGGGTGGGAGGAGAGAGAGGATGTCAGGTGGAAGGCCCTCCAGCGTCGTCCGTAGGGAAGGGTCGATCTGCTCCGTCTCACCGGAAGCAAAGCTCTGCCGAAAGACCTCACCGCACACAGGGAGAGAACAGCGGATGGTTGCACACTGCACCCAAGAGCACACGAAACTCACCGGGGCAATGCGCTCCATGCGACGAATGCCGAAACCCCCAAGGCGGATGGGGAGGAAGATCTGGTCGCTGGCGGCATCTTTGACGTCCTCGCGGCATGCCCAGGTCCCTGACGCTAAAAGCTGCTGAAAAGTCTCTCCAAGGCGTGCGTCCCAGCGTGCGAAGCTGCAGAGCACTGCGGGCGAGGGAGGGACAGTCCTCGACAGGTACTGCGGGCGAGTGCTGACACATGCCGAAAGAAGGCGAGCAGCTGTCTGGGGCTGGCGCAACCTCGGAAGCCAAGGTAGCACCCGCCCCATCTTCTCGAGACGATCTGGGACGCTGCGCTCCACAAACGAAACGGTACCCACCGGCACGCCCGTCACAGTGAATCCTCGGCGTGCGACCTCGACCCCAAGACTCCTGAAAGCCTCCACGTCCCTGGACAAAAAAGACTGAGTCTGGTAGACGAGGCACTTGTGCGATTGGATCGCCCAAGCGCCTAACGATCTCGGAGAAATGGTGTAGCATCCTGTCTGGGGGGCCTAGCACGTACGTGTCGTCGGCGTACGACCAGAGCTGGACATCGCCATCCGTCAGAACCGGCTCCAGGGCAAGTCGCTGTGTCAGAGCATACAGGAAGGGGCTGAGGGGATCTCCCTGGCGACTGCCACGCTCCGAGTGCATCGTGACCACTCCCTCACCTGTCCTGTAGTGGAGATCCGAGGGTGTCCCGTAGAAAAGGCCGATGAAGGGGATGAGGCACTGGAACTCTGGGCTGGCCTGCAAAGCCTGGAACATCATGTCTCGGTGAAATGAGTTAAAGGCGTTCGCCAAGTCTAGCTGCAGGACCACCGAGTCCGGGTGGTCAGCCAGAGCACAGCAGACACCTCTAACTACGACCTCTGTGCTACACGTCACCCCCACCCCAAACTGCTGGGACGCCAAGAAGACCCTCGCCATCTGGTCGCGTAGCTGGAGGCAAACTGCTCGCGAAAGAATGCGGACCAACACCTCGCCAATGGCAATCGGCCGAACATCCATGTTCGACGTCGCTAGAGCCACGAGGGTGGAAGACGCCAGTAAAGAGCGCGTAGCTGGAGCGCAACGACCTCGGAGCCACTGCTGGTACACAACTAGAAGAGAGGGGAGACTCTGAGGGAAAGCCAGGAAAGTGTCTCGAAGGTGCTCAGCAACCCACCCGGACGGTCCCCCCGAGGAGCCACGCGGGGCTGTGAAGATGGCGCGACGTAGGTGATCCGTCGAGAGCACGAGTGCAGTCCCCTGGTAGTCCGACAGCCAAGCTGGGGTCGGCCTCTCCGCGTTGGGGTGCTTCGACCTCAGGCACTGTGTTGTCCCTTATGTATCCGGGGGGGCCTCCGCGGACTCGTGAGCCGCACAGGCCCGTGAGGTCTCATTGCACGCTGCCAGACGGAGGCAACGTGCAATGCGACGCTCATCTGCGGTGGACTGGGTGGCCACGGGACGTGCGCGCCGGGATGTGCGTCGAGGAAGGGGGGTGCGACAGATCAGGGCCTCAGAGAGTAGCTCAGTCCACTCACCTCGCATAAAGCGGGAGACCCGTGCTGCGATGGCAGTCGTGTGCGAGCGGTCTGGCGGGGTCGCCTGCGAGTGACACGGCCTCAGAACCAGGTCGGTCTCCATCGGGGACGGGCGTGACGCGCCTGGCTGAGTAGTGGGGGCGATAAGAGAAGTGACAGAACGGGTGACCTCCGCATACGTCCGTGTCCGGACCTGTGGGACTGGTAGGGTGGGGGCAGCCGGAGAGCTGGTGAGGGGAGGAGGGCTGGCCGGGTAGTGGGTGGGGCGGGGCGTGCTGGCTGAGCGGTGCTCACATGTGGTTCCTGCTCTATAAAGCCCCCTTGGCCCTCCCCAATGACCATGGGTTGCGGTAGGGGGGCGTCGACCTGGATGGGGTGGGAGGTATGGGAAGAGGAGTCGGTGGCGTCTGCCATGGGTGCATCCCTCATCCCGTCGGCCTCCATCCCTGCAGCGCACGCGGCTGCCGCCACCTGGGGGGGGTTTAGAGGAAGGGAGAGGCGGCCCGGGGGTGAGTAGGTTGGATCGCTCCCATGGCCTTGTGGAGGGGCGGGTACGGGAGGGGGGTGTGAGTTTGGTGGTTGGCATATAGGGGTAGGGCCTGGTGCAGGTTCAGTGGGATGTGAAGTGAGGAGGGGCGGCTGGAGGGGAAGGGAGGGAGGGGGGAGTAGGTGAGCTGGCCCCTTGCCGCCTTTGCCTTTCTTCTTCCGTCGACGGCCAACCTGATTTTGGTTGTCCCTGTCTGGTTGTGAGGGAAGGGCGGGCTGAGAGGCTAAGGGGATGGGTGAGGGGAGGATGGGTGGTTGGCTAGATAGAGGAAGCTCAGTGTGCATCCCCCCCCTCCCCATGACATCACCCTCCGTGGTGGGCTGTATTTGGGGGGCGATGTCTGCCCAACGGGGCCACTCGTGGTGAGGCAGGCTGTAGGCGGGGGGTGTGGGTGGGGGGCGAAGGGCTGGAGCAATGTAGCGGTTAGGGCGTGGTGCTTGTGGTGGAGGGAGTGAGGTATGTGGTGGCTGCGTGGTGGAGGGGGGGGGGATTGAGGGGGGAATGAGGTTCAGAGGTTGTGCCCCCATGCTGTAAGTTGGCACCAGAGCCCCTTCCACTAGCGGCCCCTCCTGTTGGCCCCGCGCCCATGGTGTCGTCGCCTCCCTGAGCTAGGGGCAGGGGCCCTTGTGGGCGGGTCTTTGATGCTTGGGGGGGGTGGTGTGAGGAGGGTGGGAGGGTTGGGGTTGTGCGGCGAGTTGGGTGATTTGGGTGTGTGTAGGGTGTGGGGCGATGCGGGGATGGAGGCGGGTGTGGCAGGGTTGAGGTTTGAACCTCTGAAATGTGCATAGCCCCGGGTGGGGGAGGACCTGGAGGGGGTGGGGGTAGTGGGCTGGTGGGGGGTGACTGGATGGTGTTAGGGGTCGGGGAGCACGGCTCCGCGAAGAAGGCCAGGGCCCTGGCTGCTCCCCGTGATGCTGGAGGGAGCCCCTGAGGGTGGGGGAGGGAGTGTGCTGCTCTTAGGGGAGAGGAAAGGGGCGAGGAGGGGTGAGAGGCAAGGATGGGGCTGGGTGTGGGAGGCTCTGCCCTCGCTGTGCCCGCGTGCTCTCCTGGCGGGCCGTCTGTAAGCGTGGTGTCAGGAGTTGTGGGAAGAGGGGGGGCTGGCCAAAACACTGCGTAGGGGTCGGGGAGCACGGCTCTGCCAAGAAGGCCAGGGCCTTGGCTGCCCCCCTGGACGCTACAGGAAGCCCCTGAGGGTGGGGGCGGGGATGTGGTGCTCTTGGGGGGGAGTGGGCTGGAGGATGAGGGGTAAGGATGGGAGCGCCCCGGAGAGGCTCTGTCCTCAAATTCTCCTCCAGCCCCTCCATCGGTCCATCTGCCAGCATGGGGTCGGGCATGGGGGGGAAAGGGGGAACCTCGTCATGAGGCATGGGGTCGGCCTCACCGTCAGGTGTGAGGTATTGGGCCAGTGGCCCGTCGATGTGCATCCCGTCCTCTACCGCATCCTCGTCCCTCACTATCACTTCCCCTCCTCCCAAAACCCCCCTTATTGGAACCCCACCCACCCCACCTGCCCCTATGTCCCCTGAGCCCGCCCCCCCTAGTGAGGTTTGTGGTGGCTCCGAGGTGGCTGTGGGTGGGGGAATGAGTGGGAGAGGAGTATTTGAGGTTGCTCCCCCGTGCTGAAAGTTGGGGCCTGCGCCCCTCCCACTAGTGGCCCCTCCTGTGGGCCCCTCCAGGGTGTCGTCGCTTCCATGAGGCTCCACAGGCCCTTGCGGGTGGGACTTGGCTGCCTGGGGGGTGTGGTGTGAGGAGGGCAGCCCGTTGGGTGAAAGTGTTGGGGATGTGTGGCGACTTGGGTGGTTTGGGTCTTTGTAGCATGTGGGAGAGAGATGTGGCCAGAGGGAGGCTTCAACCTTCGAGATGTGTGTAGCTCCGGGTGGGGGAGGACTTGGTGGGGGAGGAGGTAGGAGGTTGACAGGGGATGATTGGGTGGACTTAGGGGTCGGGGAGCATGGCTCCGCCAGGAAGGCCAGGGCCCTGGCTGCTCCACGTGGTGCTCGGGGGGACCCCTGAGGGTGGGGGCAGGAGTGTGCAGCCCTTGGGGGCGAGGGAAGGAGTGAGGGAAGGGGCGGGGAGGGGTGAGAGGCGTGAAAAGGAGTGCCCTTGGGCGGCTTTGGGGCCAGGCGTTGGGGAAAGAGGGGGGGGCTGGCCACGAGATTGTGTAGGACTCGGGGTGCACGGCTCTGCAAAGAAGGTCAAGGCCCTGGCTACCCCCCTCGAAGCTAGAGGGAGCCCCTGACGGTGGGGACGTGGATGTGATGATCCTGCGGGAGGGTGGGCTGAAAGGTGAGGGGTAGAGATGGGAGCGCCCTCGTGGGGCTCTGTCCTCAAAGTCTCCTCCAGTCCCTCCATCGGTCCTTCTGCCAGCATGGGGTCGGGCACGGGGGGGAAAGGGGGAACCTCGTTTTTTTTTTTTTTTTTTTTTTTGGAAATTGGAGTATACATTAATGAAGAAAATGCATACAGCAATAGCAGTCGTAACTGAGCGTGAGGGCAGACACCTTGCGCTGCCCAGCAAGATGACTAGGGCGGTAGAAAAGCCCTCCTTGGCTTGTTCCAGATCGCAGAAACTGGCCGTCCATTTCCATTTTTTGTCACCGACCTCCCTGATCCTCCTCAGCATTTTTTGTTCTGCTTCGAACACACATCTGACCCTCTTGTGCTTCCCTGACGTGCCCGGCTTAAAACACTTGGCACCAATTGCCCTCGTGTAGATCCTGGCATGCAGCCGGAAAGCTGTCCCAATTCTCCTAAGCACCCGACGGGCCCTGAACTTTTTCCCGCGGAAACGGGGAACCTCGTTATGAGGATGCCGGGGGCCTGGGTCGGCCTCACCGTCCGGAGTGAGGTATTGGGCCAGTGGCCCGTCGATGTGCATCACGTCCTCTACCGCATCCTCTCCCATCACTATCACTTCCCCTCCTTCAGGAACCTCCTTATTTGGGACCCCACCCGCCCCTCTTGCCCCTGTTGCCCCTATGTCCCCTGGGCCTGCCCCCCCTGCTGGCCCTTTACTGCCGGATACAGCCCCTACAGCCCTGCTGTGGCCTCTACCACGCGTGCTGCGGCCCCTGCCGCCCCGAGTGGGCGTGCTATGGCCACTGTTGCTTCAGCTGCAGCCCCACCTTCTGTCTTTGTAGCCTCTGCTGTCTCCTCCCTCACAGCAGCACCTGCTGCGCCCTTCCCTGCTACAGCCGGGGCTGTACTCTCCCTTGCCCCAGACCCCGCTACACTCTCCCCCGCTGCAGCCCCCATTGCCCTCCCCCCTATACCAGCCCCAGCTGTGGCCCCTGCCTTTCCTGCTGTGGTGCATGCAGCCTCACATGCTGCGGTCCCTTGCTTCCCCCACGGCATCCCTTGCCGCCACTCCCGCAACCCCTGCCCCTTTTCCCACAGCAGACCCGCCCACCTCGGCCTCTCGCTCAGCGTTACGCTCATGCACGTCCAGGTCCGGAGCCCCGGATTTCCCATTTTCCTCCTCTCCTCTCTTGGCCACAGGTGGGCCCTGCTGTGTTCCCTTGGTTTGGGTCCGGTATTTGTGTTTTTTTGTGTGACTTGGTCTTTCGGGTATGGGTGCGGGTGGGTGCGGTGGAAAGCGGCTCCGCATCCTGCAGGGCTGCACCGTTGACAGAGAGGGGGGTTGTGGGGGGACAGGTGGATTTTGGGGCGTCTTAAAGCGTGGGTGAGCCTCCTCTCGTTCCTCGTCATGCGCAGGTGGGTGTGGTTGTGTTCCTTTCTCTTCTAGGGCACGGTTTTTACCCCGGGGGTCAGTGCCTGTGTCGCCGGTGACTACCTGGTCGCTGGTGACCGGGTTTTTCTTAGGAGATGAAGGGGGAGGGTAGGGGGTACGGAGGCCCGAGGTCCTGCCCAGCGTTGGGCTGATCCGAGCTCAGCCTCCTTTCCCCTAGGGGGACGGCGCTGCATGAATGACTATGGTGGCTGAATGGTCAGTGCAGGGAGGACGTATGAAGGGATGGGGTGTGGGAGGAAAGGGAGGACAGTGTAGGAGGGGGTGGGCACTGGGCAAGGGGAAACGGTGGAGAAGGGGATGAGCTGTAGGGTGCCAGTTCGGGTTGGACCAACTGGCCCGATGGTCCAATGGACCGGTTGGACCAACTGGCCTGTTGGTCCAACGCTCCGGTTGGACCAACTGTCTTGTTTGGTCCAATGCTCCAGTTGGACCAACTGACCTGTTGGTCCAATGGACTGGGCTTGTTGGTCCAATGGACCAGTTGGACCAACTGGCCTGTTGGACCAATGGACCGGTTGGACCAACTGGCCTGTTTGGTTCAATTGACCGGTTGGTCCAACTGGCCTGTTTGGTTCAATGCTCTGGTTGGACCAACTAGCCTGTTGGTCCAACGGACCGGTTGGACCAACTGGCCTCTTGATCCAATGGCCGGTTGGGCCAACTCGCCCGTTGGTCCAATGGACCGGTTCGACCAACTGGCCTGTTGGTCCAAAGGACCAGATGGGCCAACTGGCCCGTCGGTCCAATGGACCGGCTGGACCAACTCGCCCGTTGGTCGAATGGACCGGTTGTGCCAACTTGCCCGTTGGTCCAATGGACCGGTTGGGCCAATTGGCATGTTGGTCCAATAGACAAGTTGGGCCAACTGGCCCGTTGGTCCAATGGACCGGTTGGGCCAACTGGCCTGCTTGGTCCAATTGACTGGTTAGACCAACTGGCCTGTTGGTCCAATGCTCCGGTTGGGCCAAGTGGCCTGTTTGGTCCAAAGTCTGGTTGGACCAAATGGCATGTTGGTCCAATGGACCAATTGGACCAACTCGCCTGTCTGGTCAAGTTGACCGGTTGGACCAACTGGCCTGTTTGGTCCAATGGACCGGTTGGACCAACTAGCCTGTTGGTCGAATGGACTGGTTGGGCCAACTGGCCCGTTGGTACAATGGACCGGCTAGACCAACTGGCCTGCATGGTCCAATGGACCGGTTGGACCAACTCGCCTGTTGGTCCAATAGACCAGTTGGCAACTCGTCTGTTCGTATAATGGACCGGTTGGACCTACTGGCCTGTTGGTCGAATGGACCGGTTGGACCAACTGGCTTGCTGGTCCAATGCTCCGGTTGGATCATCTGGCCTGTTGGTCCAATGGACCAGCTAGACCAACTGTTCTATTTGCTCAAATGGACCGGATGGACCATCTTGCATGTTTGGTCCAATGCTTTGGTTGGACCAACTGGCCTGTTGGTCCAATGGACCGGTTGGACCAACTGTCCTGTAGATCCAATGGACCGGTTGGACCAACTGGCCCGTTGGTCCAATGGACCTGCTCGACCAACTGGCCCGTTGGTCGAATTGACCGGTTGGACCAACTGGCCCTTTGGTCCAATGGACCGGTTGGACCAACAGGCCTGTTGGTCCAATGCTCCGGTTGAACCAACAGTTTTGTTTGGTCCAATGGTCTGGTTGGACCAACTAGCCTATTGGTTCAATGGCCCGGTTGGACCAACTGGCCTGTTGGTCCAATGGTCTGGTTGGGCCAACTGGCCCGGTTGTCCAACGGACCGGCTAGACCAACTGGCCTGCATGGTCCAATGGACCGGTTGGACCAACTGGCCTGTTGGTCCAATGGACCAGTTGGCAACTGGCCTGTTCGTATAATGGACCGGTTGGACCTACTGGCCTGTTGGTCCAATGGACCGGTTGGACCAACTGGCTTGCTGGTCCAATGCTATGGTTGGATCAACTGGCCTGTTGGTCCAATGGACCAGCTAGACCAACTGTCTTACTAGGTAAAATGGGCCGGATGGACCATCTGGCATGTTTGGTCCAATGCTTTAGTTGGACCAACCTGGCCTGTTGGTCCAATGGACCGGTTGGACCAACTGGCCCGTTGGTCCAATAGACCGGCTGGACCATCTGGCATGTTGGTCCAATGCTCCGGTTGGACCAACTGGCCTGTTTGGTCCAATGTCCGGTTGGACCAAATGGCCTGTTGGTCCAAAAGACTGGTTGGACCAACAGGCCTGTTTGGTCCAATTGACCGGTTGGACCAACTGGCATGCTTAGTCCAATGGATCGGTTGGACCAACTGGCTTGTTGGTCCAATGGCCCAGTTGGCAACTGGCCTGTTGGTATAATGGACCTGTTGGACCAACTGGCCTGTTGGTCCAAAGGACCGGTTGGACCAACTGGCTTGCTGGTCCAATGCTTCGGTTGGATCATCTGGCCTGTTGGTCTAATGGACCAGCTAGACCAACTGTCCTATCTGCTCAAATGGACCGGATGGACCATCTGACATGTTTGGTCCAATGCTTCGGTTGGACCAACTGTCCTGTAGATCCAATGGACCGGTTGGACCAACTGGCCCGTTGGTCCAATGGACCTGCTCGACCAACTAGCCCGTTGGTCCAATTGACCGGTTGGTCCAACTGGCCCTTTGGTCCAATGGACCGGTTGGACCAACTGGCATGTTGGTCCAATGCTCCGGTTGGACCAACTGTCCTGTTTGGTCCATTGGTCTGGTTGGACCAACTAGCCTGTTGGTTTAATGGACCGGTTGGACCAACTGGCCTGTTGGTCCAATAGTCTGGTTGGGCCAACTGGCCCATTGGTCTAATGGACCGGCTAGACCAACGGGCCTGTTTGGTCCAAAGTCAGGTTGGACCAAAATGGCCTGTTGGTCCAATGGACCAGTTGGACCAACTCGCCTGTCTGGTCAAGTTGACCGGTTGGACCAACTGGCCTGTTTGGTCGAATGGACTGGTTGGACCAACTGGCATGTTGGTCCAATGGACTGGTTGGGCCAACTGGCCCGTTGGTACAATGGACCGGCTAGACCAACTAGCCTGCATGGTCCTATGGACCGGTTGGAGAAACTGGCCTGTTGGTCCAATGGACCACTTGGCAACTGGCCTGTTGGTATAATGGACCGGTTGGACCTACTGGCCTGTTGGTCCAATGGACCGGTTGGACCAACTGGCTTGCTGGTCCAATGCTCCGGTTGGATCATCTGGCCTGTTGGTCCAATGGACCAGCTAGACCTACTGTCCTATTTGCTCAAATGGACTAGATGGACCATCTGGCATGTTTGGTCCAATGCTTTGGTTGGACCAACTGCCCTGTTGGTCCAATGGACCGGTTGGACCAACTGTCTTGTAGATCCAATGGACCGGTTGGACCAACTGGCCCGTTGGTCCAATGGACCTGCTCGACCAACTGGCCCGTTGGTCCAATTGACCGGTTGGACCAACTGGCCCTTTGGTCCAATGGACCGGTTGGACCAACTGGCCTGTTGGTCCAATGCTCCGGTTGGACCAACTGTCCTGTTTGGTCCAATGGTCTGGTTGGACCAACTAGCCTGTTTGTTCAATGGACCGGTTGGACCAACTGGCCTGTTGGTCCAATGGTCTGGTTGGGCCAACTGGCCCGTTGGTCCAGTGGACCGGCTAGATCAACTGGCCTGCATGGTCCAATGGACCGGTTGGACCAACTGGCCTGTTGGTCCAATGGACCAGTTGGCAACTGGCCTGTTGGTATAATGGACCTGTTGGACCTACTGGCCTGTTGGTCCAATTGACCGGTTGGACCAACTGGCTTGCTGGTCCAATGCTCTGGTTGAATCAACTGGGCTGTTGGTCCAATGGACCAGCTAGACCAACTGTCCTACTTGGTCAAATGGACCGGATGGACCATCTGGCATGTTTGGTCCAATGCTTTAGTTGGACCAACCTGGCCTGTTGGTCCATTGGACCGGTTGGACCAACTGGCCCGTTGGTCCAATAGACCAGCTGGACCATCTGGCCTGCTTGGTCCAATTGACCGGTTAGACCAACTGGCCTGTTGATCCAATGCTCCGGTTGGACCAACTGGCCTGTTTGGTCCAAAGTCCGGTTGGACCAAATGGCCTGTTGGTCTAATGGACTGGTTGGACCAACAGGCCTGTTTGGTCCAATTGACCGGTTGGACCAACTGGCATGCTTGGTCCAATGGACCGGTTGGACCAACTGGCCTGTTGGTGCAATGGCCCAGTTGGCAACTGGCCTGTTGGTATAATGGACCGGTTGGACCAACTGGCCTGTTGGTCCAAAGGACCAGTTGGACCAACTGGCTTGCTGGTCCAATGCTCCGGTTGGATCATCTGGCCTGTTGGTCCAATGGATCAGCTAGACCAACTGTCCTTTTTGCTCAAATGGACCGGATGGACCATTTGGCATGTTTGGTCCAATGCTTCGGTTGGACCAATTGTCCTGTAGATCCAATGGACCGATTGGTCTAGTGGAACGGTTGGACCAACTGGCCTCTTGGTCCAATGGACCTGCTCGACCAACTGGCCCATTGGTCCAATGGACTGGTTGGACCAACTTACCTGTAGGTCCAATGTTCCGGTTGGACCAACTAGCCTGTAGGTCTAATGGACCGGTCGGACCAACCGTCCTGTTGGTCCAAAGGACCAATGCGACCAACTAGCCAGTTAGGTCCGATGGACCGGCTGGACCAACTAGCCTGT